TATATATATATGTTAGGGCTGTCAGCAGTAAATTCTGATTAAATTAAAGTCTGAAATGAATGCATTAGTTTTTTTAAATTATGATGAATCTCATGCTCTTCACCCTTTCAGGCGCTCCGTGGATAATCCTCCTCAGTGTCTCCCTATAGTCACAGTGATGGAAAAGAACAACACTGCTGCATCTTTGAATGTCTCATATCACTTCAAAAAACTCTCAGACAGCTCAGCTGTGTGTGTGTGTGTGTGTGTGTGTGTGTGTGTGTGTGTGTGTGTGTGATTGTGTGTGTGTTTTAAGTGCAAGATGATGTCATGATGTCATTCACTGACACTGAGCCAAAACACATCTTAGTCATATCCATCAATTGTTCTCCCTGCAATCTGCACGCGCACACACACACACACACACACACTGCCAGCGTGTACAGATCAGCCTTCTGCTGGTAGCTGAACCCTGATTTAGCATTACATCAATGTTTCCCAGCCCGGCTCCGGAGCCACATGTACATAAACAGAGAGAATAATAAGGTTGTTTAGAGGACATCCATCATAGCAAAAGTTTGAAAAAACAACATCATTAGCTCAGCAAAGCTGGAAGCTGTTGATGTTTCAGCTGACGTCAGACACTGCACCGTCATTTAACAATATAAACTTCAAGGCCAACTTTTTGGAAATTCTGATGTAGCCAGCCTTCAGCAATAAACAACTTCCACCCAAAACTTATTTTTCCGTGAGCTGCATTGTTTACAGTCCAGTTAACAACTTGAGAAGCGACCGTGCGTTCAGATAAAAAGGTACTTGAGCAGCATGAACCTGAAAAAGAAACATTCACACAGTCAGTGTCTGTTCCCTCTCTTAGCTGTACGGATGAGGTCATTCAGGATGCGTTTTATCAGGGCCCTGGAGAGCCAATAAATCATCATGCATGTGTTGTCTTTGCACAAAATACATTTGTGTGTATGTGTGTGCATGGTTTGTGTGTGAAACAGGGACACACTAACGCAGACAGAATCACAGGGAGAGAATGTAACACTTCTTTTCCCCTGGACATCCTTTCTCTCTGTTTAACAGGAAAGGAATCACTTTCTGCTGACCTTTCCCATGTTACACGTTACACTGCTGGGACACCAACCACACACACACACACACACACACACACACACACACACACACACACACACACACACACACACACACACACACACACACACACACACACACACACACACACACACACACACACACACACACACACCTGGCACCCTCATTATAAATTAAAACCGAGCATGATAATCCCGGTGTAAGGAAGACCAACAGTATGGTTGCTTTATCCCCACAAAGTTCCCCTCCAGTCTTCAGTTGTTGAAATCATCTGTCCATATGGATCAATCCTGAACACCACCTACTCTTCAAACCAGCCATGGACTCCTCTGAAGAAGTATTTGGATGTCTGCTTTTAAATTATAGTGTGCAACGTGCGGTGGGAGGCTCTTTGGAAAAGAGAAGACCATCGTTCAGCCTCGTCTTCCTGCTGACGAGGCTGCTTTAAAAACTGAATCAGATAAATGTTGGAATACTCAGCTTCAAATTTAAGTTCATTTAAATACAAGTCTTGGAAAATGTACATTATTCCTTCTATACTCTAGAAGACTTTGGGCATTCATGGTGTCTTCACAACTCCACCAGTTTCTCCTCCTTTTCCAGAGTCCAGGGAAGCTGCATGGGCTTTCTCCTCCCCACCATGTTAGTACTAAGTTTTTCAGCTTCCTGTTTGATGCTGGCATGGTGAGACCGCTCCTATTGGTCGTTGACAATGGTCACATCATTGCACAAAACAATTTGAATAGGGGCGTTAGGGTGCAGTGGGTAGCGCGCGCGTCCCATGTATGGAGGCTATGGTCCTCCAAGCGGGTGGCCCCGGGTTCGAATCCAAACTGTGGCTCTCTTCCCGCATGTCAATCCCCTCTCTCTATCTCTGATTTCCATTACTATCCACTGTCCTATCTCTCCAAAAAGGCTAAAAAAAAATAAATCTAAAAAATCAAAAAAAAACTAAAAAACAAATTGAATATGACACGACAAAAGAGCTGCAACAAAATGTTTGATATTGTAACGCCTAGACAAGAAAAAGACTGCCTTAAAACATGCTTGGACTGAGTTTTAGGACCACCTCAAACCAAACGGCCGAGATCCAGTAGCTCACCCAGACTCTTAACAAAACTCTTTAAGATTTTATACAGACTTATGAAATTTAAGACTTTAAAATCCTGTGAAATGTCATTAGATGTAAGGCCAGCATAATATGTTTTAAAGAATCTTTTAGCAGCCGTTTGCTTCCCAACCCATAAATGCTGAATAAAATATCTTTTGGTTCGATTTTGGCAACAAAGTTGGTTCCTAAGAAATAATCCTTGCTCACCTGTGCATGCAAATGTTAATCATCACCATTCAACAACCTCAGAGTGTGTGAGAGCAACATGAGGACCATGTTGACATCAGCAAATGACACATTTTTACAAAGCTGAGCGTGACGGGATGGATTGTCTTCATCGTGTTACTTTTTCCTCAGAGGACGCCAGCTTTTGGAACTATGCATGACGCTGTGAAACCCAGTACTACCCCTAGACTGTTTACACTGTGTGCCCTCCAAGACTGTGTGTGTGTGTGTGTGTGTGTGTGTGTGGGGGGGGGGGGATTAACACCCACTCCGACTTCCAGCTGGAAGCATCCGTTTCAAAGTTATGGCACACAGTGAGACACTCTCTCTGAGCTCCACATTAATTACCCTTCAGTTTCCATGCAAACAAAAAACAGAGAGAGAAATAAAAAGTTAAAAATAGTTGTAAAAATGTATCAATAACATCCTGTTTAGTTTCCCAAATGATTTCCACAGCTAATCACCACAACATAAATTAGACTGCTTCCACGTGAACACATGCAAACGCTTTTTTCTCCTGGCAAGAAACTCCCCTGTGAACCGATCCCATATTTACTTTGAGTGTTTTCATGACGCTTGCTGCATAGCTATGCCATGACACAACCTTGTTTTACGATCGGACTTAAATGTTGGTTTGTGGTGTGCAATATAAATCATTTTTCACTCTCTCTTTCTCTCTCTCTCTCTGGTTTTTCAACATGGCAAACCAAGAGCATACCAAAGTTTCTGTGAGCCAGCCAGGAACTACTCACGAGCTCATCGGCCCCTGAGCTTCTGCACGTATTTCTTTCTTTTATTACTTACAGATTTCATGCAATTTGACCTCAAGAGAAACTCAGAGATTTGAGTTCAAACACAAGTCAAGGTCTGTGACGGCAAATTAGCTGCTTTGCTTTTCCAAACACCCTTTTGTTTTGGAAATTCGTCTGAGGTTATTTTATATCTGTCACAACAGCTCAAGAGAGGAGAGCCAGATAAGTCTCAACCTTCATTAGAGGTGTTTATTGTTCAAAGATCACAGGACTGCTGCGCTGTTTCGCTCGAGTCATGCAGACAGAATCAGAGTATAGTGAACAGTGAGGATATCAGGAAGAACGAGGGTATTTGTGGGTCAGAAGGAAAAAAGGAGAAAAAGAGAAGAGTTGAACCCGCAGACGGATTAAACAGAGCACAATCAGACAGTGAACTTTCCACTAGCTCTTCACTGAAAGCAGCAATTAAGTTTGTGGCCGATAGTTTGGTGATAAGGTCTACTGAGCGACGCGTGCAGATGTGACCATCGCTGGTCTGACATGAAATTTTCACTCATGAAGTCCATTTCTCTGACAAAGAGCATCATCCAGAGTTTGTCTGAAGATACGCTGTGCCACAAAATATTTAAACAAACTGAGTAAAGCCCCTTCATATGAATAGACTGACAGACTGACATACTGTATGTAAGGTCAGCACAATGGAGGATGATCACATTGAATTGTCTGGAAAACACTTGCACTGACTCTACTTGAAGTTTCATCAAGACTTTATTGATAACCCCTTTACACACATGCACTCCTGACAATTTCTAGAAACTTTCAGGACAGTCTGCCACTGAAATCTTCCTTATTTGCTTCTTTCACATGCAGCATGGAGGAGAAACTAAGAGACCTGCAGTCACACGAGGAGAGCTGGACAGGACAGCATCAATCCAGCAGCAGGACCGCTATCTATCCCTTTTGTGTGCAAGGAGGAACAGGAGGAGCCCAACAAAATGACCTCCAGCAGGCGACTGGTGTATATGTCAGACACAGACTCCATGTGGGGGGGTATATGAAAGTCTCTGGTGGGACCTGTGCTCACAGCCCAGCGGAGCCTCAGGTTTACATTGAGCACATGTGACAGGTGTGAAAGAGTGTGTAGACGCCGTGGTGAACGTTATCCTGTGACATCATCCAGTATGAGCGGTTTGGCAGTGAGTCAGTGATGGTCTGGGGGGGGGGGGGAGAATGCTTCATAACAATATTAAAACTTCTCTGAAGCTCAGGAGCTTTAAGGTAGATAAGAAGTGAAATCCATGGTGCCTTTTCTTTTTTTCTCCTGCTCGCTCACTCTCCTCCTTGCCCTTGATGCCTCCTTGACAAGTTAAGTGCTGATCGACTCTCTTAGCTGTTCGTCTTCTCTGATCAAACATAGGCCACACACATACACCTCAGGGTTCAGGGCAACACATCTGGTATCAGTCTATGTTCTGCAAAGCCTCAAAGGGCATTACTGAGGAGACTCTTTGGTTGATTTATTTGGTGAGTAGAAGCAAAGACACAGGATGTTTACCTGTGAATTTCACCTGAGACACTTTCTCTGTATTTTCTCGGTTTAACATTTGATTTTATTCCATCTTGGACAAGTTCTTTATCGTTCTTATTGCTCATTTTTCAAGTTAGTCATTCTAATGATTTTGAACGCACTTATATTTTACAGTTGACAACATGATATACTTTAAATAAAAAAATGTAAAAGTCTTCACAAGTTTTCGTAGATTGACAAACACAGAGCCAGAGAAATCTCTGGAGAAATAAAATCTGGACTGAAGGACATTTCAAATGATTTTTTATTACTCAAAGAAATCTTCAGAACCACACTATCAGCCAACATCAATTTAAAACACTTGATTATTTAATCACTGTTATTGTAGTTTAGTTTTCTTAGTTTTTTTGTTTATTATTATGCCATACATACATACATATGCCCAGCCCGCATGGGCTTACATGACACCATAAATTAAAAACGTTCCCGGATCAGAGTGCACTAGGTAAGCTATATTCATTCACAAGAAACAAAAAGAGAAAGTAAGAAGTCAAACTAATTAAACAGAATATTCTGTCTTCTTTTCCAAGCTTTTGAAACAAAATTAGCAAACTTAAAACAGCCATTCCAGTTTCATTGTATAATTGAATTATTTACACACTGATCTTAATCCATTAATGCAACACCTTATAGCTGTACTATACCCAGAGGAAGAATATTATAATCTAAGAATACATCATTCAAGAATAATCCAGATCGTTCTCTCACATGTTTGGCTCACAGCAGTTTTATTCGACTAAAAACAACCATGTGAAGATTAACAATTAAATAAAGTTCATATTACAATCAGTGTTTCTCACTAAAGCTCATTAAACCCAAACTGAAACCAACATTTTCATTCGTCATTAAAACATTTCCTGAAGGAATTCGTTGAAATATTTAAAACCATGTATTTTCAACATCCATGCTAGCATGCTAGAATTTTTCTTATTGAAGCATCCTTTTGGTTCGCTGAAGGAGAGGGACAGTGTGCATCATGTTGCAGGTTCATTTTTATGTGTTCCATTCCAAGCATCTTTGTGCACACACAACGTAAATAAACACCCACTCTTACAATAACAGCTCCTTATTAGTACCTTCTGGTGAAATGCTCTTCGAACCCCTCAGAGTGTTTTTCTGCTTCATTTCATTCTCCCCGATGTTTGGAGGATTCTCAGTATGGTTTCTTCTGCTCGGAAAACACACATGCACACGCACACAAACGCACACAAACGCACGCACACGCACACAAACGCACACACGCACGCACACGCGCACACACACACACAGAGTAAATTTGCATCAATGGCAATGAAGAAAATCAACAGACAAAGGACACATCAAAGTATTTTTCATGATCTTACCTGCACTGATTTTTCTCTCTCTGTGGAGAAAAATAAACAACAATCAGACTTTCAGAGATACAGTTGAAAATATTTTGTTTACTTTTCATGCAAAAGCAGAAATTAAGATCAGTTTAAGTGTGTGGAAGATAATAATAGATACAGTTCAAACACATTTTTTAAATTTGGGTGCTTTAATCTGAAAAAAGTGATAAGACAAAAACACGCTCCACTCCCTTTCAAAGTAAAACAAACTGGGTGCTGAATCCAGAAAAATGTTTAAACAAGAAAACGACAGGAGGACAGCGCTCCAAAATTGTGTATTTAATTGCCACACGGACATTTCAAGCTGACGCTGTTTTTCAGCATGCAATAGGCAATTTTTTTCTCAGAAAAAATATGACAGGACTAAAGAAAAATAATTCCTGTTACACACTGAAGAAGAGCGTCAGCTCAAAACATTCGTGTGGCAATTAAACACACAATTGAGTGCTGTTCTAATCATTAATCTGAATATAGGATAGTAAGAAATGTTTAAAAAGGCACATTTTGAATTTCTTTGAGTTGAAATTGATTGGGGCAAAGCTGCACATAAATTGAAATATCATTTTTTGAAAATAGCGAGTTATAACCTTTAAGCAAAGCTGTTTTTTGAGAGAATTTCGATATTGTAAAATGAATGTAACAGCGCCATCCTGAGGTAAATGAGTGTCATTTAGCCTGAGGACAATTTGGAATTTGTAAACCAAGCTGCCAATTTTGGAGTTTTGGCTTCACAGGTTTTGCTGGATGAACACTGTGAAAATAAAAACAATCAGGCTTCTTATCCATCCAACTTATTTTACTGACACATTATAAAGGTTACCACACTCACCTGAGCGCAGGTAGGATAGCATCATGAACAGGACAATCAGCAGTATGGACAACAAGAGGACCACGGCGAGGTAAAACATCCACCTGCTGGGCTCTGAGCACAGAAATCATAGAGTCAGGTACGTTTCTGTGCTGCCCTCATGTGGTAGCACTCAGTACTACAGTCACTCACCTTCAACAGTCAGGATGAAGCTCTTTCTGATGGGCACTCTGAGCGACTGATGGGAGACGCTGCATGTGAACTGCTTCCCCGAGTCCCTGAGTGAGGCCTTGAGGTAGAAGAAAGCTGACAGCGTGTAGGTGTTGTCCGAGTTGGGTTTGTGGCTGGACAACAGGACGTTCGCGAGCTTATTAGGGAGAGGAGCACCCACCCTGTGGCCTAAAGAAGACGGGTCCTGGTCGTACCAAACTATCTCAACATCCAGAGGGTAGTAACTCGCCGCCACACATATCACCTTCTGCTCGCCGCCCTCCTGCAGAGAGAGAGCGGGTCCAACGTTGAGGGACACTCGCGGAGCCTCTGAAGGGGAAAGAGATCAAATTGTAGAGGACTTCTCCAAGGCAATTTCAGCAGAAGGTTTCTGTGTAACATCAACTTTAAAAAAGAGTGGTAACACTTTAGCGCTATTAGCATGAATCTTAAAGACTAAAAAAAGGTGTGTTCATTCTCACAATCTGGAGATCAGACTAAGGGAAATGTGCCACATTGAAATGCAAAGAAAGCTACTAGCACAATGATGCAACACAGTGATACCACCACCTGGTGGGTGAGTAAGGCTTTAAACTGAAAGACAGTTGTTGTTGAATGTGATGCACTAATCGACGAGGAGACAAGCCCGGGTTGTACTTCTACAGAATTTAATCAGAAGGAAAAAAACCCAAAGGAGGAGGAGTTTGTGGACTAATGCTATTAGATGCTACGTTGTGCCTGAGGGAACAAAAGAACAGACTTCTCCTCATCCTGCCATAAACATATTGTGATGTGTGACTGAAGATAACATGGCATAGCAAATATTGTCTGATTAGCACTCACCAATGTTTGATGATGAATTTCCATCCCTGCAAAAGCCTGCACATCAAACAATCCATAAAGCTGTCTGTACATTTGTAGACTTCCATCCTGGCGTTGTTGTAAAAAGACAGATTCTTCACTAGATATAATTAAACGTCACTGGAGTGAAGTTCTGCTAAAACTTTATCGTTTCTAGCGATTGAAATATTGTCTCATATTCCTAAAACCTGCAGTTCATCTTCATATCTCTGATTTCCTGTGGTTGTCAGTTGTTAAAATGCACCGCGTTGAAGTGATGGAAAATGAAAAAAGCCTGAGCTGCAGCTCCACAGAGTGTTCAATGGTGGACGCTACTCTCCTCAACTCTTTTTGCCCTCTAAGGCCTCCACGCCAGCCACATGACTGACAGCTATGAACAGCTGATTTGAACAGAAGAACCACCTTGGACAAGGTAAACAGACAATCATATGTTGTGATTTTGGAGTTGCACCTTGGGTGGCCATTCAGTTTTCAAAGGGGGGACCCAGACCCCTGGTGGTTATGCTACTGGGCCCACTGTGGGCTGTGATCCACAGTTTGAGAACCACCGGATTAAAGCCGCTGAAATAAATCGACTGAAGCAATAATCTTTTTTTTTACCTAATTGTTTTTTATGCCTAAAAATATTTAAAAAAACATTGTTCCCTTTTAAAACGCCAAAATTCACTTCTTAACAACCGATGACAACCATCTATGACTCCATCAAGTGACAAAGACTTTGATTTTTTTTTAAATAATAATCAGTCTAGCCTGATATTTTATTGTATTATCCTGTTCCTGAGTCTTCCTCACCTTCAATTTGTAGGTTGATGTCCATGCTGGCAAAAAGGGGATTGACGGTCACAGAACAAATGTATCTCCCTTCACTGCTCATCTTGATGAAGGGGATTTTCAAAGAAGCGTCCCCGCCTGCCAAGCTCTTCAGGCTGACCCCCTTCCCGTTCGTCTGTCCCGTGCGGCTGTTGTGACTGAAGAGTTTGACCCTCTCTCCACGATGCTGCCACAGCCACTCCACAGTCACGTCCGGTCCCCGGTGGTCGACGGCAAACTGACAGTCGAGCTTTTGTTCGGAGCCCTGGCCTGCTTTCACCGATGGAGATCCTGTTTTTGTTACCATAGCAACTATGGAAACAGATTAGACACTTTTAAGTTGAAACAGTGATGTTGATGCTTTGGTTTCTACACGTGCATGATGTCCCTATCCACCTGTTGATTTCTCTTCCTGTTCCACTTTCTCAGCCTATCAGGTTGCAGCATTTGGCCGTTAACCAATGAGTCTGGTTTTGGTCATTATCTGTCTGTTAAAAATACAATTTTATTCCTTGCTACTGTTGCCAAGTACTTGCTCAACGTGGATTAAAGTTGGGTCTCTTTAAATATTAACAACTAGTTCTCCAACTGTTCTTTATGGAAAATGTCCTGAGCTAACTTTCATTATGATTCATTACAGGGTGATGAAGTGCCAACAGAGCAGACTACAGTTACTTTAAGTTTATGTCAGAGACTTTAGGAGGAGGAGAAAAGAAAGTACCACCAATATAAAAAAAAGGAAAATGGAAACAAAAACCTGCATTTCAGAGAAATCGCTCGGACAAATGACTGTGAATGGAAGATAATAAGCTCTAGCTGATTGAGAGATTTGTATTTGAATTTACAAATTCCAAACCTTGTTTTACACTGGAGCCAACTTTTATCACATAAATCCTTTTTGAGTCAGTCTCCTAATTCAAAGGAGGCTGGTTTGATATATCTCTTGAATCTGCTTAATGTATCACCAGAGGTGGGCACACGTCCAATAATCTTTCAATCGTTTATTATCTGCGTTAAATCTCTTGTGAACATTCATTTGACAAAACATGTACGTTAAATACTAACTGAGCCCAAATGCAGTTTAAAAACAACAAACTGGGATACAGGACTGTTATTAGTTGAAGAACACATACTGCGTTGATGTTACCTGTTGTTGTGAGTGTCTCTCTGTCTTCAACAGGAGTCCAGCTGTGATAGTCGGGCTGTCCTGAGGGGGGTTGGTCAGACTGGTGTCTGAGGAGGCCGGTGACTTTGAACAGGCCCCTTGTGTGTTTCAGGGTGCAGGTGAACCAGCGGTTGTACTCATGGTCCCCCTTAACCGGCCAGCGGATGTGGATTCCAGGTGTGCTGAATCGATGAAGCTCACACTCCACCTGCTCTGCTTCCGCTCCCTCTAAGTACCGCCTCAGGTCCAGCTTAGATCCTAGAGCACAAACACAAGAATCAGTACCATGCAAAAGTATTTATTCTGCTGCTCCTGCAGGATGCAGGTCTTACCAGTGACCAGGAAAGTGATGCCATGTGGGTTAACAGGAGCGTCTCCTTTCTGACCAAACTGCAGCAGAGCCTGTCTGTGGACGAGCTGAGTCTCTGTGTGGTTTTCACTATTCAAAAACACATGTTCATCGACGAACTGACAGGGCAGCCAGGACACCTGAGGGACGCACTGCACACCTGAGAGAGGAAACATGTATCAGTAGTATACAGGTAATGGAAAGTTACCCAACCAGGCACAACCAGGGTACAACAAATGCAGGGGTGCCATGAAGTTTGTGTGCACATGATACAAATTAATCTATATGATTTACTCTTTATGTCTCCTCAAATAATATCCACATTTAAGTGACAACAGAGCAACTTGTACATTTTAGATTGATTCTTTGGGGACTCAAAAAACAAGATGCATGTCCAAAATAACAATTCAAATTACTAAAAGAAAAATCTTGCACATGTCTCACTAGAAAAATTAAAATATTGGCAATATCTTCAGTACCAAAACATAGCTTGTTAGTTCATTACTAGTGTGCATTAGTTTGCTTACAATTTTGTGTTGACTCATTCTTTTCCTAGTCGCCTGACTTAAGAATCACATGTGCAAAGTATTGGTTTAGTAGCCTGTAAAATAGTATGGGAAGTACTGTAGAGTACACCACAGTACTGTATAGCTTAATGATACAAACAGTTTAGTGCCATCACAGTGCAAGGCAGTAGCAGCATGTTAACCTATTCTATATATAGGTTAAGCTATGTATTAATAGTAGGACAAGGAGGCAAAGTGCCAAAGCGAATGCAGTCTTCATTTCATTGAAATAGTTACAGACTGAAAGTCACTTCGTTCATGTCGTGTAGGTTAAGATGCTAAAAGAAGATATCCGAGTCTGTTACACAACCGAAAACAGTAACTCACCTGCAAACACATACGAGTAAATAAGTATCTTTAACATTAGATCCATTATTGTTTCCAGAAACGACTCCGTATGGTTAGAGCAGTATCTCCATGTAGTCTCTCACAGTTGAAGTGTGCTTTCACTTTCATTTCATCAGAGAGAGAAACTCGCTTTGCCTGCCCCTCGAGTCAGGTTTCAAGCAGATATTATGTCGTCTGAAAACATTTTTCATACGTAAGAAAAACATATTAAAACAAAGAAGGATCAAATGAGTAGGCTGTCCTGCTCTTTCGAAGGTGTTGTTAAGTCATTTAGCCTCAGTTATCTGCTGTATGTCTTTACACACATAAAATAAAAATATTGAATGGAACAGTTAACACTTCTCACAGCTAATAAAAGAGAGAATTAAGCTTCACTACAGAGTTCACTTTCTTTACTGGCTTTTCCATGTTTACGCTACCGATTTATAAACGAGTAGTACTCATTTGGTCCACTAGTGGCGCTGTGAGTACACCACAATACCCGAGAGCATCCGGTCCCTCTTTGAGAGTACTCCATAAATAAAAGTTTATAGTAAATAAATAAAATAATAATAATAATAATAATAATAATAAATAAAAATAATAAAAATAAATAAATAAAAAACATAAATAAAAGACAGAACTGTCTTTTCAACGACGGAGGATTAGGGCCATGTTAAAAAAAAATATTACGAGAATACAGTCTATGGAATAAAGTCGTACATTTACGAGATTACGAGTTCAATCTCGAAATAAAATTACAAAAAAATGTTTTAACGTGGCCCTAATCCTCCGTCGTACTTTTCAGTATCTTCATGCTGACTTTACCTTTCATATTCTGTGACCTTGTGTCCTCAAACTAGTCTTATATATCAATACTCACTGCATGAAGTAAGAACCACCTCATCAAGTTTTAATCATCATTTATATTTGTTTCCAACACATTTCATCTTGTGACTAGTGTCCTCTCTACAATATTAGATATTAATACTCACTACAAGAAATGAGTCACACCCTTTTCCTTTTTAAAATATTAATCATTAATAAATAAAAACCTTTCATTTAACATGACCCATGTCCTCATATCAATCTTATATTAATAGGCCTACTCACTACAGGAAAAGACACACTAAAACATTACTTAGATATAAATGACCACTACAAGAAATGAGAGACACCTCATTGTATGACATATTAGTGCTTTCTTGTAGTTTTTATTAAATCAATAAATATTATTTCACCCATTGTCCTCAAATCAATCCTGGATATTAAAATTCACCCCAATTTTTTTTTATAGAACCTCAAATATTACATACGTGTTCTTTTTTTAAAATTCACATCTATTATCAATCATATTACATTCAGACTAAGGACACCCTGAGTTGTTGAACAGCTGAAATCCAACATTAAGTAAGCATGGTAAAACATTCCATCACAACATTCCATTTACAGAAACTGGTCCTGAGGTCGCTGACAGGGTGGTGTTAAAAGAAAAAAGTGATGCTACAGGAGTCCCAACATTTTTGGAACATGCTGCTGGCATCAAGTTCAAGTGGGCATATCATTTTATAAGAACAAAGACTCTTCTCAGTTTCAACATTTGAGACATCTTTGAGTAACTTCCCCTTGTGTCACCTGTTGATCAGTGGAGGAGTGTGGCACTGTGGACAGCAAGCTGCAACTGCAGCTGTTTATAAATGAAGCCAATGCGGAAGTGCAAAATCCTGCAGAGTGTCCACTTGAGGCAGGCTGCAGAAGCACTGGAAGTCACATGACAGGCAAAAAAAAATCTATTTTTACAGCAGAAATAAACATGTTTACAGCCTCGTACAAAAAAATTTAATAGGTCTGATCTGTTATTGTCCTCATGGGTACACATTGTACGGGGGGGGGGATATTTTTATAATACATCTGTTCTATTTCCGATACACGTTATTCATAGTTAGTCGTATAGCTAACCAGATTGACAGGTGGGCCTGGTGTAGCTGTTTGTCTTAAGGCTTTAAAACCCGCCTCAGCTCCAGCTTTCCAGTTGTTAGTTTGACTGAAAGTTATGCTGAGTCAGCACTTCCAACATGGCGGCTGACGTCGATGAGCCTCCAGAGCCCCCGGCTGTAACAGATGGCTGACGTCACTCAGGCTTCATCCATAAATATTTACAGTCTATGGTGGGCAGTAGTGCGTGTCACAATGACCACCTTCAGTTCTGCTCCACAGCACTCCTAGCAGTCAAAACCTCGACATGTTACCTTCATAATGGAGCGTCCCATTGTAAAGTGAAGTGCTGTCTCAGAGTGAGAACAACAAGTTTAATGTAAAAGACTTTCTTCCTCCTTCATGTTGGTCTGTTTGAGAGCTGCTCGGTACAGCTTCTGCTCAGAAAACACACACAGGAGCACACAGAGATTAGTACTGGTTTACAATGGATCAAGAGATGAAGGGAACGCAAGTGATGTTTCATATAATCTTACCTGCATTGATTTTCTTTTTCCTGTGGACCAAATAAATAACAATCAGTCTTCAGAGATCAACACTTCATTTGTAGAAATTAAGTAAACACAGTAAGATTCAGTTTCAATCAGTCAACACTTTTTTTTTATATTCAGGTCTAATTACAGATTTTTTTCCTCAACTGTTTAGAGGTTCTTGTTTAAATTTCACATATATTTTTATCCCTGCACGGGTTATGTACATTTCTTGTATAAGTCTTTTTTTAATTGCACAGTTTAAGTTTGATTCATCTAGGGGTATTCTTTAAATCTTTTTTTTCAGGTTAATATATATGTATGGGAGGGGGGGGGTCTGTTTTGTAGTTAATTAACAAATGTTTCATGTCATGTACGTCTTTGTAACCTGCTACTGGATGCTTTGAATTTCCCTCTGGATCAATAAAGTATCTATCTATCTATCTATCTATCTATCTATCTATCTATCTATCTATCTAGTATCACTGCCAGAACAAGTCAGTATAATCAACTTTGCTCAATATTTATCTGCTCCAACTGCAGAGCTCTGCAGACACACCAGTGCAGACGTATGTAGAGCTCATGACAGTGTCAGAGTTATGAATCAGGCTTCAGACATGCACAAACACACAAAGTGCTAGATCCCGACTCACAACTGAAACGTCTCTGTTTCTTACTCCAGTGGCGGCACAGAGGAGGGAGCACTTAGTCCCCCAATTACTCTTTTTTTTTCATAACTTAATTGATATATAACAATACACAAACATCAAACTGTCCAACCCTTAATAGTAAACATTTTTTAAAAAGAATCCATTGACCGACTGATTTTGAAAAGAAGTTCTGAAAAAATTAAATAATTGGCATGGATTTCTTTCTTAGTTAGAAACACCTTTAAGAGACTTAAAATAACTTGCTAACTAATGCACAGTTTTTTTTAAATCTAGACCTACAGTATTAAATAAGTGAAAACATTTTTATCTTTCATGTTTATAACGTTTGCTGTTTTACATAAAACATGAAAACAACAGTCTTTCCAGAATGTGATACAAAAAGGGAAAATGAAGGATAAGAGAATTATGGTTTCAGGTTCAGCTTAGTACAATGTTTCTCAACACTGACAAGTCTTGAGATGTACCCTTTTGTTGGATAAATCATCTCATTAAATCACATTTTCTACTCATAATGGCAGATTACTTCATTTCAAAGTATCCTCACACTCATGTTCAAAAATATTTAGATTTTCAGAGAGTCCCCACACTTACCTCGCCTTATCAGATAAGGCAGCATCTTGCACACGATGAACACCAAAAACAAATCAACAGCGAGGTACAACGCCCAGAAGCTCGGCTCTGTGCACAGGAAACACAACGTTATTATGTTGCTCTGCTGCCCTCATGTGGTAGCACTCAGTACTACAGTGTAATTAATTGTACTTTGTATCCTCTCACCAGTAACAGTCAGGGTGAAGCCCTTTATGATGGGCTCTCTGAGGGACTGATGTGAGACGCTGCATGTGAACTCTCTCCCTGTGTCCCTGAGCGAGGCCGTGAGGTAGAAGGAAGCCGTCAGCTTGTAGGTATCGTCCGTGTTTCGAATGTGGCTGGTCCGCTGGACGCTGTAGGAAACCTTGGAACGGGAAACACCCCCCTTCTGGCCCGATGCAGACAGTTTCTCACTGTACCAAATTGTCTCCACATCCAGAGGATAGTAACCCTCCACCACACAAGATATCTTCTGCTCCTCGCCCTCCTGCAGAGAGAGAGCGGGGCCGACGTTGAGGGAGACACGAGGAGCTTCTGAAGGGGAAAGAGATCAAAATGTAGAGGACTTCTCCAAGGCAATTTCAGCAGAAGGTTTCTGTGCAACATCAACAGACTTTGCGTCCAGACTTTGACCAAACATCGCCTGATTAAAATAAGTTGACTACATTTAAATCATGTATTTATAATAGGTTTGTCAGCGTTAATGCATTATTCACAATGCCCTTAGGTCAGAAAGCTTTCTGGTCCATCCTTAATTCAAACAATAAAAAACAAATTTTAAACCTAAATACTAACCAATAAAGCAATATATATATATAATACAGATTTGATCTATTGTTGCCTGTTTCAAAATGTAAACCCCCTCTTCTTGAAATGTTCTGTCTGTATTTTTGTTGTAATAAACATCAACCAGTCTTTTGTTAACATCATGGTCAGGCCCATTCAACTAAACTGTAAGTCTGGATGTGTATAGCCATGCAGGACCAGCAAAATGTCCAGATGCCAGAAAAGAAAAGAAAGCAGAAGAAGTCGAGGAGGGAACTGGATTGGTCTTTTGACCACAACAATAACATGTCAACAAAAGCTGATCCCTGGGGTGCTGATAGCCTAACTGTTGTGACCTGTGCCCCATGTATGGAGTCAATAGTCTTCAGTGCAGGGGCATTGATTTCGAGTCCGGCCTCGGCCCTTTGCTGCATGTCATCCAACACTCTCTCCTCCCAACATTTCCTGTCTCTCTTCGGCTGTTCTATCTAATCAAGGCAAAAAAAAAACATATCTAAAAAGAGAAAAAGAAGGAGCTCCCAGTCAGGCTGAGGAACCTGATGTTAGCCAGTAGCCTAGCGTAAATGCTACTGATCCAGTCGGCGTGCATTGATATTATTAAATGTAATTTGGGTAGGGCTCAGTCACAATGCCTTTTAAAGATCTCCACCATTTCTGTGTACGGTGCTGATCATCAAGTATGCTTTCGAATGTTTGTACATTTAAGTTTTACCTAAGAAGAAATCCTAGATATTAAAATGTAGACTTCAGAATCTTTATAAAACTGCTGTGAGTGCGTTGTAAGACGAGTTTGTGAATGAAGCCCTTGACCTCTTTCTCACCTTCGATATGCAGATTTATGTCCATTTTCATGGACAGTGGATTCACGGACACAGAGCAGACGTACTTCCCTTCATGGCTCGTATCGGTGCGAGGAATGGTTAAAGAAGCATCCCCCTGTGTAAGGTTCTTCAGGGAGACCCCGCTCCCCTGGGTCTGTCCCGTGCTGCTGTCGTAGCTAAAGAGCTCGTCTCTCCTTCCATACTGATGCCACTGCCACTCCACAGTAATGTGAGGTGCTTTATGGTCAACAGCAAACTGACAGTGAAGCTTTTGTTTGGAGCTCAGGCGTGCGCTCACTGACGGAGTTCGTGTTTTAGTGACCAAGGCGACTGTGGAAAGAGATCCAGTTCAGGGATTAAAATGAGACACAGGACCAGTAAAAATTGAACTTTCTGACACCAACCAAACATTTTATACACAATCTGTCCTTTGGGATGTAATGCTGTTTGTATGCCAAAGAGGTTCCTCAAGGTACCTCCCTTGGTCCTGTCCTGAATCTCATCACTTTCTTACTAACAAACTGTAATGCCCCTCTACATGTAGACAACACACTTCTGTGTTGTCAGGCAAAGTCAACCATTGAAATTCTACAAACTCTAAATTGGGGAAAACAACTTTTACTTTTTGTTGGAACTTCTTATAGCTCACATTAAGACTTAACACAACTGTCTCAAAAGGTCAATTTAAAACCATGAATACAAACTACTCTGGACAACAATTGAACTGTGTTTAACTGTGTTGTTCTCTGCTTGTTTGATTTCTTGTCATATGATTACTTCCAATGTTGACGCAAGTGGCCTCTTGATAAAGAATATATTTCAATGTTTATCTTGATAAATAATATATTAGCACAAGTACAAGTCTCCTCTGATTTGTCCAGGTCTGCTTTTAATATGTGTTTAAATTGTGTTTTTTATTCTAATTCCAGAGTTGATTTAAACTTGTTAAACTGTAAAAGTTTAAATAATAGCTCAGGCTTTTATTTTCTTCAGTCTATGAAATGACCCTGCCTTTTGTTTGGGACAGACGTCATAACGAGGTGGGCGTTAAATCATTTATAAATATCACTCAAAGATCAAAATGCACATCAAAAATGGAAAAGGCTATAAAACTGTAAATTGACAGCGGAACGAATATTTAACTGTGCACATAGTTAGGATATCGATAAACAAATGAAGTTACAAATCATTCATTTGATCTGTTTTTTTAGACAGTATGCCAACCTGCTGCACAGCTGGTACTCAAACTAGCATCATAATGTCTTTCTCCAACAGATGTGGAACTTCATCTTTGTTGTTTTTGTTTTTGTGTCTTGTTGCTTTTTATTCTTATTTTTGATCAATCAACCCCAAAATCATAGAGTCCTTGAAACCTGTCTTTATTTATCAAAACATGCAGCTACACCAGGGATGGGCTTTTATTTGAAGTTTTACTGTATCTCTAATTTTTATTTGTACAACTTTAATTTTGCTCTCTGAAGGGGGTTCTTGTAACTTTTCATTAGGGTTAATATACATATATATATATATATATATATATATATATGGTTTGCAATCAAATAAAGAACACATACTGCGTTGATGTTACCTGTTGTTGTGAGTGTCTCTCTGTCTTCAATAGGAGCCCAGCTGTGATAGTCGGGCTGTCCTGAGGGGGGTTGGTCAGTTGGGTGTCTGAGGATGCCGGTGACTTTGAACAGGCCCCTTGTGTGTTTCAGGGTGCAGGTGAACCAGCGGTTGTACTCATGGTCCCCCTTAACCGGCCAGCGGATGTGGATTCCAGATGTGCTGAATCGATAAATCTCACACTCCACCTGCTCTGCTTCCGCTCCCTCTAAGTACCGCCTCAGGTCCAGCTTAGATCCTAGAGCACAAACACAAGAATCAGTACCATGCAAAAGTATTTATTCTGCTGCTCCTGCAGGATGCAGGTCTTACCAGTGACCAGGAAAGTGATGCCATGTGGGTTAACAGGAGCGTCTCCTTTCTGACCAAACTGCAGCAGAGCCTGTCTGTGGACGAGCTGAGTCTCTGTGTGGTTTAAACTATTCAAAAACACATGTTCATCGACGAACTGACAGGGCAGCCAGGACACCTGAGGGACACCATGCACACCTGAGAAAGAAGAATTTCAAAATAGAAGTTGTTTAGTTGATGGTTGAAGAAAATACCATGTGAAATAACACAATGTTTACGTCAAGGAGTTTTATAGATTTAACTCCATTGAGGAGTCAGATTAGTGTCGGGCAGTGGGAGGTGTGTTTGGGATTTCTGTTTGCAATGATAATTCATATTTAGTTTAACCTGTTAAAAACATTTCTTATATGTAGTTTACTGTTATAGATGTGATGCTAATGAGATGGACCTCCAAGGAAGAGGAGGAAGAGAATCACCATCTGTCCCATCTGACCCAAAAAAAACAACCTAAAACATCCCAGCAGAGACAGAGGAGGTTCAAGGTTGTCTTTATTATCTCTGTGAGAGAGCCATTTGTTTTCACAGTCAGCAGTCAAACATTCAGTCATCCTGACGACAACATATATGACACAAAAAGACAGAAAAACAATAAGCAAAAGCCCAATGGATAATAAATACCGCAGGTAAATAAAACATAATAGGTCATTTAAAAGTCGATGGCAGCGGGTACAAATCAGTTTTTCAGTATTTTGGGGTTTTTAGTTATTTGTACGTCAACTTGTCTTTGTTTCTGTTTATTTCTCGTGTGTCTGGCTGCTCCACACCAATAGCCTCAAGCGGGATTTACAAACCCAAGGAGAACCTCTCACTACCTCTGAGGGTGAGATAATGAGTCAGCACAGAGCACTGCAGACCCAGAGTATATAAGCTCCCCACACCTGGTTTTAATCAAGGCCAATCAGAGACACACACACCTGACTCTGCACTGAGGTGATTCATTCACCAACCTCAGGGAGAAGCGAGAGAGAGAGAGCCCTCACACTAACGAAAACCAATAACGTGTAGGTGCCGCCCCAAAACCCAAATCTTTGATTGGCTATTTGCCTTTTAAGAGGAGGGGCTTAAGTACAAATAAACTTATCTGGTTGTTTTCAACACACTAATGGTACTTTCAGTAGTAAATGAATACCTTGCTCCTTGTGTAAAAATGTCCAAAGAATAACTCATGCGTACTGTCGAACGTGCAATGGACTTAATTACCAACAAATGTATTTTTGAAAGTTAGACTGCGTGCATGAGTTTGCACGCAATTGTGTAACTAAGTACTTATAATTGTGACTTCCCAGTTTAAAAAGTCTGGACACACCCCTTGATGACACTGAAACATTTCAATTTATGAGGAAAAATGATACCCCCCTTCGAAAATTGATGTCAGCAATTCATTGTAAACGTTCATTGTGTTGATCATTTCATTTAAGATGTGGTTTCAATGTTTGCATTTCAACACATTCTGTTTTCATCTAGGCAGCATCCAAACTCATTTGGAAATATGGAGTAGGCTAATACAAAATAGGAAATATATAAAGTTAGTAAAGTAGATCGTATGACTGTGCAGTAACGTAGGCTACATAAAGTAGTATAATGTGTTTATTGTACTATAACAGGCTATTGTATTGTTCGAAAATTATAGCATAATCCTTACAGAGTAGTGTTGTATTGTATAGTGAAGTAGACAAGTAGGCTATTATTTATTCATTTGATTAATCAACGTATCAACAAATCGCATCTCTGTAAAATATGCCGGAAATAGTATTAACTGTCGACTGTACTAAGAGTGTATAACTTACAGTAAACACTACAGTGAAGTAATGTGGACAAAAGTGTCTCATAGTTTAGTTTAATATGTTACAGTATGCTACAGTACAATGTAGTATAAAACAACATGGTGCTAAACTGCAAGCTATTACTGCGCACTATTTCACATTAGGCTACACTGCAGTATAGTAGACTTCAAGACTTGTAGTTCGGAGAATAATAAACTCGGACGTATAGAAGTTAAATAAAAAGACAGATCTAACACAGGTAAAGACAAAACTCACCTGCACACAGAATCAGGAAAAGATTTAACATTAAGAAGAAACTCATGATTGTTTTTTAACCGATGTGTTGCCCGACCAGCTCACACTTTCACTTTCACTTCTAGGGGCCTCCAGTGACGTCATTGTCAGACGATATCTCTACACGTGTTTTTAATACATTTGGCCGCTTCGGTTATAGCCGCACGAATATCAATGCTTATTTCCGCCATCATTCTGTTCTTGCTTCTCCACATATTCATATGTAAATTGATAAACATAAAAACAAAACAGAAAATATTTCTGTCGATAACTCCATGGAAATTGAATTATAGTATGGATAGCCTATATAGTCTACAGTTTCTTCTGCACAAAAAAAACAGTAAAAACAGTTAATGTTTGCAACATGTTAAAAATGTTTTAGGTAAACTAAATTTGTCTAAGTTTTCTATCTGTATCCTTACATGTTTTTTTTTTTATCTTTTCTTAATATTTTCTAATTGTAACATTTTCAATTCAACTGTTTCTGCCTCCATGTTGCTCAGTTTTTGTTTGGTACTTTATTTCCTCAGCGAACTGGGAACCAGTATATACAGGACCCTGATGGCTTCATCAATGAGTACCACTTTGTGGACGTTAAGACTGCTGATAAAGCAGAGGTTGCAGAATGGCACAGACTCTGCACTGCATGTGAAGAGAATTATAATGACTTAATGCACAGACGCTGGCTCAACACACCAGGTGAGTTGAGAGACAAAATGTTGAGCTGTGGTGTTTGAACCTTTCCTGTTCCTTCCAAGTATTTTAAGTGTTTGTTGGAGTCTTATAACATTGACATTTGTTTCAAAAATTCGACCTTAAGCTATGAATATTTTTGCTGTGAATCTCAGTAACCATCAGATGGGAAGGCGATAGATGGACGGTAGTGGCTTATAGGTATGAAATTGAGGGCGCTGAGCAGAGCCGTCAGTACTCAAAGAGAGACTCCGTTCCTCAATCTCGACCCCCAGCTGCTGCTAAGAGGGTCCCTGTGCTGCCTCCAATATGTCCGTATAAAAGAAGGCGAATTTACCCTTTAAAGCATGATGAAGTAACAGGTAAGTTCTTCTACTCACATAGTGAATAACTGAAGAACAAGCTTTAATTCATACATTTCACAGGATCATTTCAGTGTATTGTATGTTGATTAGGAAGGGAGAACAGTATTTTGACATTTTGCATCTTGTTGGTTAAAAGGTGAGAAAGCAGAGGATGACTACAGCCTACTAGCTGCTCGTCAAAACTTCCTCCCTCTCTCTCGACTCCCTGTGGCTGCTAAGAGGGCCCCTGTGCTGCCACCCTTGGTCCCAAGGCCTCCGACAAGTTGTCGGGACAATAAAGGTGGAGCTCAGCCAGAGAGGTTACTGCGCCCTTTAAAACATCTCAAAGGATCAGGTATGTTCTTCTGAACGCATCCTGAACGATGTAGATCCATATTTTTCCATTGGGACCTTTTAGGTTTTATTGTATGTACTTACACAATGTAACACAGTGTTTTGACTTTTGTATTTTATGGATTACCAGGCCAGAATACTGAGAGCATCTGCAGCCTCCAGATGTACAATAATAAAAGGATTGAGCAAATGGAGTACTCTCAACACAACTCCGTCCCTCAATCTCGGCTCCCAGTTGCTGCAAAGATGTCACCTGTGCTGCCTCCTCTGACCCCAATCCCTCCAAAAGAGCCTCAAACAAAACAAAGAGGAGCTCAATCAGGGAGGTTCCTGCCCGCTGTCAGGTAAGGTCTTCAATAAACATTTATATGAGGATAAAACAAGTTAATGGGTTTAATTAGCTTATTTAAATGTTTAAGTTAAGTTGTTTGAGATGAAGGACTGAAAAAAAGTATTTTTTGATCTACCAGAAAAGAAAACATGGGGTGACCGCAGCCCCCAGACAGGAAAGAACACAAAGGCTGTGATGCCGCCTTTAACTCTGGCTGCAGAGAGTCTGAACCTCTGCTTCCAGCTGATCTCATCTGATGACTGGTAACTGAAAGAGCATCACATGTACCACTTAGGGGATTTTATTATAAAGCACATTTCATTGCAGCTTAGCTTAATGTGCTTTACATTGAGGTTAAAAATATAGAAATACAGAAATGAACAATTGTTTAAATAATAAAGCATGAGCACAACCTTCATCAGACACACGTAACACGGCAGCTAAACACCAAAAAGCTTAAAGAAATAATAAAAACCAGCTTCACACACCAACCACAGAAAGGATCACATTTACACACACAGAGTAATTATTCATACACTTTGGAAGGTTTTGAGTTGTTCCCTTTTTTTACCTTTTCCATTCGTCATTGATTGATAAGTATCCAGTCAGCTTCCTTGTATCATATTTTAAGAAGCTGTTTGAACTGCAGGTTTGAGATTTTTTTTTAATCAGTGTGGTTAAGTTCATTTATTTAATTCGAACATGCAGGATGAAGAAAATTGACGGCTTGAAAAGAGTTCAAGATCTTGCACAGAACCACTTGGAGGTCCTCAAAACCAAACTCCATGATGTGTGCCTGGTTCTCATAATGGAGGTATTTTACACGCGGCCCCCCTTTGTGTTTCATGTAAATCACTACATCCTACATGTATCTATGAGTCTACTGTACAGTATGGACTGATGATGTTTACCTTTCAGGTGAAAAACCTTCGCTCCGCTGTCGCCACTGAGGCTATGTGCACCTTAGCCGACATGTATGTTCGACTCCAGAAGGCCATGGACCCAGAGGTTGAGGCTACAGGTCAGGCCCTGCTGCTCAAACTGGCACAAACCACCAGTGCCTTTATTCATGAGCAGGCCAATCTTGCACTACAAGCCATGGTGGAAAACTGTAGCCATGCTCGGGTCCTGAACGCCCTGTTGAACAAAGGGCTCAGGTAAGAGGAGAAAAATCAATTGTATAGATTTTATCAGCAGGAGCATGAAAACTGAATACAAAAGTCCTTAGTCACACTTGATTGGTTTGGTTGTCTAAATGTTGATTCATTTTGTCCCTCCATAGCCACGGTTGTGTTGCTGTGTGATGCAGCATGGCTCAACACCTGCACCAGCTGACTGACAGCATGGGAGCAGCACAAATCCTCACAGCCGGAAAAGGCATCAAGGAGAGCATCCTCACAGCTGTCTCTGAGATCGCTATGGATGCTGCATTGGAAGTTAGGTTGGTTATCAAGTTCTTTGAATTTACTGAACATTGTACAATTTAAATTTTTGAACATTCTTCTAAATGATACAAATCAATCTTTCACAGGTCAACATGGACAAACCATCCTACTTGAACTGGCCCGCCAACAGGAATTTTAACTCCTGTGGAAGAAAATTGTTCCTGGTGAAGAACGCTTCTACCTGGACAAGAAATGAAAAATTGCAGAGCCATTGTTTGTGTCAATAAATGTTTGATGAGCAAATTAACTGTTGTTTTAAAAAATGTTTTTGGAGTTGAAATAGCCTCAAACACTGAGAGTAAAGACACTTCCTGTTGTGGTGCTAGCTGAAAAGGTCAAGTCTCCCCAGTCAATAATATTATCACCATTTGACCCTTTACTACTGTTGATTCATCTATTTTATTCTTTCTTTAAAAAGTATTTCATAAACATCTTCTGCCTAGTTTTAGTTTTCTCTGTGTTTCTCTATTGGTGTTCATTTCCATTCTTATGCTCTTTGTGAAGCCCTTTGGGCTGCATGCTTCAGTGTATGAAAACTATTCAAATGAAGCTGAGCTTGAGTTTTTCCTTTGTTATAATAAATAGCCAACATATCTTTAAATCTGAAACTTTCATGCAGTACAATGCATGACAAGCCTGACAGAAGTAGGCAGATGTGGCATGCCTTGTTTAATGAAGAAGAAAATCATATAAAAGCATAAAGTTAAGACACTGCTGTAGTTTAATATCTGCCAAATAAAGAAGTATAATTCAGCAAAGAGAATCAATTTAACTTTAAACAAATACAGTTCAACCATGGTGATTCTGTAGAAGTTAAAATCATACTGAAGTATTCAAGCATTTTATTTTGAAGGCAATAACTGACCTGCTGGGAAACAGATGAAATCCTAAAATGATCCAAAGTTTAAAAATCAAGCAGAGACCAGAATAAAACAAAAAGGTTGATTCGCTGCTCAAAGGATCCAGCAAACAATAGTAGAGTTTAAAGTAAAGAGAGTGAGGCCAAAAGAGTGAGGAAATGTTTTTGATAAGAGATTCATGAAGGTTAACTGATTGGTCCATCTCATGGATACTGCAGGATTACAGCTTTCATGAAACATGGTCTCAAGATATCTAAAGAAACAAATCTAAGAGAGATGTTGGGCTGAATAGTGTTGGTGCAGAAAAGTGAGCGTCTGTAGCTCTATGTGCCAGTTGATCTGTGATATTTACACACATCAGCAGTGGGACATCATTCACTAAAATTTACAGAGATATGACATTTTTTTTGTTTCAGTCTGTTACTTTCTGACAAGTAATTTAACACTTTGTTAAAAGATGAGCATGGACTGTTGGAAGCAAGCTACCATGTTTTTTAGGGGCCCGAACCATATTCCAGCAGCCCTGTCCAGTCAATCACATGCAGGGCTGACATACAGATTTAGTAAACAGTCACACCTATGGCCAATGTATAGTCACCGGTCAACCTCTTATAGGACTGTTGGAGGAAGCTGGGTTACCCCAAGAGGGAAACCATACATGCACAGGGAGGACAAGACAAACTCAACACTGAAAGTCCCCCGTCCAACCAGGTACTCAAACCAGGAACCTTCTTGCTGTGAGGAGATAGCACTAAGCACTGCTCCATATTGTCTTATTGCAGCTCTACAATGAACCACTTAGCTATGGAGGACGAGATCTGACAGAAGTATAAATAAATAAATAAGCGTATAAATAAATACTGGAATAAATAAATAAAAGAATGAATAAATAAATAAATAATTAAATGCGTGAATAAATAAATAAAAACTGCTAAATAAATGGGACTTAAATAATTAAATGTCTTAAATTTATTTCTACATTTATTTATTTCCATATTTATTTATTTCTACATTTATTTATTTCCACATTTATTTATTTCTACATTTATTTATTTCCATATTTATTTATTTATACATGTATTTATTTCCACATTTATTTATTTATACATTTATTTATTTCCATATTTATTTATTTATACATGTATTTATTTCCACATTAATTTATTTGTACATTTATTTATTTCCATATTTACTAATTTGTACATGTATTTATTTGTACATTTATTTATTTCCCTATTTACTAATTTGTACATGTATTTATTTGTACATTTATTTATTTCTACATTTCTGTGTCCGTATTTATTTATTTATACTTCTGTCAGATCTCGTCCTCCACACTTAGCAACATTTCCGTGTTTACGCCACATGTACACCTGCAGTACTGATTCCGTCCTCAAGTGGCGCTGAGAAGACGCAACAACACCTGACAGCATCCGGGTCCCTCTTTGCTTTGACACGTTGACCCAGAAGAGCGGAAGCGCTCTTTACGAAATGGTTGACATGATGCTCTAAACCCTGTAAATGTAATGTTGACTGACTTTATGTGTTTGACAGACTTTGTTAAAGTGTAGCAATCAAAGTGCTTTAGTGAGACTTGACCAACGCGCTGAGAAACCTCTCATGAATGGACATTTGAACCCGGAGTAAAATTAGCACAGTAGCTAATCTGTGTTTCCATGATGAGCAAAGGTAATGTTTTTATATTTATGAACTCTTGACAATCTCCGTTTATATAAAGGTTTGAATATTTTGTCTCCCTGGGTTAACACACTTCATCACCATACCAGAAATGAAAACTTTGATACGATTCCAACAACAACAAAAAAATGACATTGATACCAAAAACTTCAGATCTCCAGTCAAAAGCTGTCATAAAGACATGAAGTGCAGACATATTGTGTCATTTAGACAGTGTGCACCAAGTTTTAGCAATGGAAAATAAGAAATTAGCCACTATTGGGTGCTAAGACTTTAGTTGCTGTGGTATCAATAACATTTGATTTTAACATTGTTGTTGTTGTGAGGCTTTGTCTCTATCTGTGTCTTCTGTCTCTCAAACCCAACACAGTGTCAGCAGATGGAGTCATGTAGTAGTTTGTCTATTGTGTTTCAAGTAAACAGTCCTTTTAAAGCACATCTAGGTGTTGTTCCAGTATATTATTGTGGACAGAGGAAGAAAGGCTGGGATGACATTTCTGCACAGTGAACGACAGACAGACAGAGACTCTGCAGGTTTCTTGTTTTTACATTGGCCGTGGCTCACATTCGCCTTTTTTGAATTTGAATTTGAACTCCATAGGACCCCACAACGTGGTGCCGGGACCCCTCTGTCGGGAAAGCCTGCTTTAGAGTTTGCTGAAGGGCGTTCCATGAGTTTTGCTCATCAGAAACAAAGGCAGTTTGTTAATGAGGAAAATTCAAAATTCAGACATTTTTAAGATAACACCACAGCAATCTTTACCTAACTCGACTCTTAAGTTACAGAATTGGTTGTGCATTGTTATTTCTATAAATTCATTCCTGCTCTCTTGTGATTTCAGATTGGGCCGTTCTTCAGGGTGCCTTCCTCCTGGCTGATAAACTGTGTCTCCCCTCATCCCTGTCCTCGCTTCAGAAGGCTGACTGGAGCAAGGTGGGAAATCCAGTCCTGGATGCAGTCAAAGAAATCTCCAGACTAAATGAAAATCCTAGCTCTTCAACTGTTGGCTGGATAAAGAAAACAGTCTGTGCTGTGTGGCTGAAGCTGTTGTGCAGGGAGGCTGGAGAGGATGTAGAGACATCCTGGAGGGAGAACCCTTTCTTCTCCCTCCAAAACGGCCTCCCTGAAGTCAACCACGTCGTCCTGCTGGAGGTGGTGAAGTCACTGGAAGCTGCTCAGATATTCGCCCGCTTGCTGTTGTATCTCCCTCAGTCTCAGATCTGCACTGAGCTCGACAGGCTGGTGCAACACGTGAGGAGCAGCCCGGCTACTCAAGACGACGTGCGGCTTTTTCTGGACGTGTGGTGGGAACTGTGGAAAGGCCGAGATGAGAAGAAAGCAGGAGAAGAGGACAACGTGGAGAAGATGTTTGCTGGACAATTTGCTCGTCTCTCCTCTGAGTCCCCCGGTTTGACTCAACAGGCTGCCAAGAGGTTCAAACTAGACCCAGCAGATTTACCTGCGTCATCGCCAAATAATGATGTGCTGCAAATCCTCCTTCAAGCACTTAAAGAGATAAAACATCTCATACCTACGACAGACCTTTGCCTCCAGGCTCTCTCCATTTCTCTTGATGCTCTTTACACAGCGTTCCTTATAGAACAAGCAGTCGTACTTCCGACCAAAGACAAGTTGAGCGTCCTGTCCAAAGCTGTAAGCATCAGAGAAAAGAACAGTGACAAACTGAGTCCTGAGCTCATTCAGGAGGCTCAGAGAGACCTGCATGCCTCTCACACACCATCTCAGTTTCAGCCCAGCAGGATGAAGTTCGGTGACGCCTTGAAGATTATAACAGGACTTGTTGAGTTCTGGAAAAACAGCGGGCTCCTGAAAGTGTGTGAAAGCTCTGCGTCTAGCCGCTCGGCATTTAAGCTGGAACAAAGTGTCCAGAGAGTCCTGACAGGTCTACATGCAACAGAAGAAGCCGATAACATGACTGAGAAGAACTCACTCAGAGATCTGCTGGTGTCGCTGGCTTTCCCTGCTATCGAGAGCACAGCAGATGTGAACTCCAGGGTCACAGCGATGATCATCAGTCACCACCTGGACGACTATCAGGACTTTGCAATGTTGTTTGCCAGTGAGATGAGTTGGGCGTCTTGTAGCGAGCACTGGATGGACTGCCTGGAGAAGAACCAGGCAGCCTTCCAGCACCCGGACACGCTCATCAAACTCACCTCCACCCTCATGAGTAAACTCCAGGGTGAGAGCACAGACGTGAGCCAGTGCAGGAAGCTGATGAAAGTCCTCGCCGACATATTCTCTGCACTCTCCTCACAAGACAAAAACAAAGTGGTGGCTGCAATGTTGAGACTGTCCAGCAGGGGATTCTTTGGGCGCTCTGTCCCCTCTCCTGTGACTGACGGGTTCGAACAGGAGCTCAACATGGCCTTCAACTGCATCATCCAAGGAGGGGGCGGAGTGGCGGCGTCGCAGAGCAATCTGAACTCGGCTGTCTCTTTGGTAGCGCGAGTCGCCTATCAGAATCCAGAGGCTGCTCTGAGGTCTTGTTGTCATTCTGCTGTGTTCAATAAAAGTGCTTTCTCTCTGATGGCTAAGATCCTGCAGCAGCTGCCTGGACTCCGAGGACAGAGGGGGAGAGAATACGCAGCGCAGAGTGATGAAGAGGAAAGTGTAGATGAATTAAACAGTCCTCTCTGCAGATGTCTGCTGGAGATCATCAACACTAAATCATTGTCTGCTAATGAAAAAGAGCAGTTCCTCAAGTTCCTGAGCCTGCTGATGATGCCCGTTGTAAGCGTTGAGGGAGGAGAAAGAAATGAAAGTTTTCTGCCACCTCAGGAGGTCGTGAACATCTTTGTCCTGCCTCATCTCTCCTCTACGGGTGAGTTTCCTGCACAGATGAAATGCAACCCATTCTGCTCGATTGCTTATGTCTGAAAACTTAGCTAACTGCAGAAACTATCAAGACTGGCCTTTAAAATAAAACATTACTGTCTTCATTCTTGTCCTGATCATATTTAAATGAGTATAGATTTTGTCATAACATAAACTGAGAGTCACTAACAGTTTCCAAATTTCCCAACCAGCGGACACGGAGAAACGTTAGTAATTATTAAAAGTTAAATTCTTCTTATCTCTTTTTTCTCTTTGTTTTTGGTCTCTAATCAAACTGGAGAGAAGAATCTGACTCTTAACCTTCTCAATCCTTCAATCTGTCCTCCAGTTAGTTCATTTATCATGTAGTTTACAGAAACAGATTTTAAGGTTTTTACAATTCTATAATTTCAAACTTCAATATGACACAAGAACAAACAAAAATATCGATACCTGTTTGATATCACTGCAACAAAAATATTAGTCCTAGGGCCCAAATATTGGGTCATTTCATGTTTTTAATGACCAAAAACAAAATGCAGGTAAACTCCTGTACACTCTGAATTGCACAAATGCGTTGACAACATGTAACATTTTTCCGATTAAAGCAGCGTCACCTCCTTTACTCTTTCTGTGTAAGAGACATAAATGTTTCTCTTGCATGTTTATGTGACACCAAAATAGAAATGTACTTGCCGACTCGTGAATTTGAATGAATCAACGCTGCTCTCTCTTTTAAAGTAGCTTTTTGTTCAAATTTGCCCGAAGATCTGAAGTTTCTTTATTATAGCTTTGTTAGTTTTTGAGACAACGGATCGTATCAGAGTATCCAACATTTTGGCAATCAGAATCAGAAATACTTTATTAATCCCAGAGGGAAATTCCATCGTTACAGTTGCTCCAGAATATACAGTATAGCAGTAGAAATATGTTAATAAAAATATTAATAAAATAGAATAGGAATGTAAGTAAGATATCAATAATAGGTAGAAGAAATATTTACAGGAATAAGAGTCAGATGGAATATATACTCACATTTTCAAGATTATTGCACTGTTTGTTTCAATATTGCACTTTGTTATCATGGACATATTGTTCATTATTATTATATTGCAGTTTTAATAAATAATGAGTTATCGTAGAGGTTACAGTTTTTCAGTTATTTTTTTCCCAGGCTGAAATAGTCCAATCTTTATAGAGCTGCAACTTGAAAATGTTTGGACATGATGTTTGTATAAAGAAAAGCACTGTGAGTCCACCTGCTCCAACATGTTTTTTTTATTCCGTCAGGTCGAGGCAGCTTGGATTCAGAACTGAGTGTGAAGCTTCTGCATGCCGCTCTGTGTGTGGACGTCCAGGATGAAGCTTCATCTCCTCACTGGGTGATGGACTGTTCTCCCTTTCCTCTGCTCTACGTCCTCGCACAGCTGCAAAACCAGACACTCAGGTTTGTAAGACGATTCACCTTCAAAAACCCAATCCTCATATGTTTTTATTATTCTGTAGTTTAACTCCTCAACGATTCACCTCTTGTTATAATCAACTGTTAGCTCTCTTTGCTTGGAACATTACAGTTCAGTATTGCATGATTTTACATGGCGATTACGTTTCTCTACACAGAAACCAAGTATCGTTTTTTTATTTTTGGACATTATAAGGGCGATATTTAAAATCCAAGTCAAATATTTAGGTGTTTGAATGATACAAAAGAATCGTTTCTTCAGACTACTAGATGGTGCTGAGTTTTCTTGTTGAGGTTAGAAGAGATGAATGACCGGTTGGTTGCAGATATTTTAACTTCAATTCAATTTAAAAGGTTTTTACTCCAATTGCTGAAGGCGCTGCATTACTTTTTTTTTTACACAATATACAATCCATTTTTTCTCCAATAAAAAATAAAGTGAGATTGATAAACTTGGAAATGTAAGTTGTAAAGTGACAATCACAAAGATTGTGACTGAAATACCGTGATAATATACTCCAGGCATTTGGTGATTTCCTACTTCCTCATTGTATTCTTTTGCTGCTGTAGGTGTTGGGAGCAGCCACCAGAGGGCGATGTCAACCACTGGTCCATGGACACCAAGGAGCTGCTGGTGTCGGTGCTAACCATGCTGGGGCAGCTGGTGGGTGCAGAGGTGTCGGCGGCCCCCAGCAGGTGGTCCAGACCTCTGTTCTGGCTCTACAACAAGATGGAGGAACTGGACTGGACCGTTCGGTTCCACCTGAAGCCCGTGTGGAGGGAACACTTTAAAAACGAGGTTCCCTCCGCTCTGCTGGCCGTGTGTGATCTGCCTGAGCAGGTGAGGACTCCATGTTTAAGTTTCTGTCATGTGTTCAGTAAAGGGTGCACAGACATCAGAGTGTCATCATGGAGGCAGGACATGAAGTGAAAAGAACGCTGTGGTAGTTAGAGTGTAATGTTTACATCATATCCAAGACGGCCAATGGAGCAACAGGGTCTGGCTCTATGATGACATTTCTTTGCTTTTATATTTATGCAACATGTAATCAGATGTTCCCCGCCTATCTGGCCTTTAATTGTTAGTAACAGTATTTTAGATAAGTCTGGAAAGATCAAATAACTTTTCTAAACCTGACTTTGCAGGTTTGTGATTTAAAAAAAACTATTTTGATGTTCAAATAATGTCTTTTTTATAGTGCTGTCACCATTAACTAGTTAATCATGATTAATGTAGGTCTGAAAGTAATGCATACATTTTTTTTTAATTTGGAATTTCAAATATGTGATTAAAATGTGATTAATCACGATTAACTATCAACATTTTGTGATGAATTGTGATTACATTTTGTAATCATTTGACAGCCCTGTTTTTTGTTACCATAGTATTCATTTGAGGTTCAAAACTCTGATAAAACATCAACCCCTATTGTTTAACAGTGTATCACTGTATTCTTCTATTCTAATACTTCATCAACAGTATAAGACCATACAGCTGTTATAAAAAAACACTCCTGTTTGCAATAAAAGAATCAGTGTTCATAGTTAATAATAGTTGATAAGCTGTGAACTTTGAGCTGCACCACACCGTGAACCAGGAAGTAGGATTAATAAGAGGTAACAGCTGAAGCAGAACATGTTACTGAATAATCCAGAAGTGGATTTCACTATTTGTGAAGACAGGACGTGTTTTTAAAGTGAACCAATGAAAACATTCCCCACAGATATAGTTGAGTAATAATAATGGTTCTATCCCACGTTGATCTTTGTCTGGTAGATGTTTAAAAAAAGAAAGAAAAGGAAAGCACACACATATTGATCTTTGGATTGAGGGTCTGGTTAATCATCCTCATCGTTCAGGATGCTAAACATGAGAACATTCATCTATAAATAACTGTTCCTGCCATCAAAATATTTTCATCACAAAGAAAAAAAAAAAACACATTTCAACACCACTAGATATCCAGACATTACACAGGAACCAGTCCACATCTCCTGCATCCAGAGGAGACACAAAGATAGAGGAGAAATTGTCCTTCATAAACACAGAATTTCTCTATAAATCCTTCTGTTAAAAATTTAACTTACCGATACAACTAGAAGAAATCGCTTTTTATGAATTCCCAAAATGAAGCATTTTCTATTTTAACTTCTTTTACATTTTTATTGCGGTGTGTTGAGGTTTTGAAAACCTTAGATCCAAAAAGAAGGAGCTCTTGTGGTAATACCAACACTTTTTATATTCTGTCATTTAAGTCTTTAGTCTTTATAAGAAATTAACTGTGTACAGATATGACAAAATATGTAAAATAAGGAAAAGAGAAGTTGTGTCGTATAATTTAATATTGGATATATAATTCACTTTTCTTCTGGCCTAATCCACATTTGAGTTTCACGTTCTGTCATTTATTTTCCCTGATCTCACCACAAACGTCTTCCAGCCACATAAGTCTCACACTAGGTTTGATTGAAGACATTTCCTCAGAGTAAAGAGACAATAAGCTAATGATCTTCATTTACTCCATCGTATGTCCTCTTTGTTTCTCCTTCCTCTGCAGGAGTGGTCAGGTCTGGACCTGCCTCAGTACGGCCCGGGAACAGGTCTCCTGGCCTGGATGGAGTGCTGCTCTGTATCCGACTCCCTTCAGTCCACCATGTTGGCCCGTCTCTCTCTGGACCGGCGCCGGCCCGACCACGTCAGCATGTTCAGCAAAGGCCTGCTGGTGGCTCTGAGCCAGACTCTGCCCTGGTGCTCGCTCTCCCAGTGGAGCAGACTGCTGAGCGTCCTGAAGGAGCTGATCACCTCCAACCGCCTCCACGTTCCCTTCTCGCTCGAGTACGTAGACTACCTGCCCCTCCTCGATCTGAGGAAGTTCTCCTGCGAGCTGCGTCTGTCCGTCCTCCTGCTGCGAGTGCTCCAGCTGCTCTGCGGGTCAAGCTGCTCGGACTGGCTCTCGGGAGATGGCTGGGCCCACGTGGGCCGGTTATACGCCCACGCTGTGAGGGACATGATGACATCGGTGAGAGCCAAGCTGCATCTTCCTTCCTCTGGTGCTCTGAATGTTTCAACGGCCGACCCTTCCTGCACTTCAGTCACGTCTCCTAAAGACTCAGTGATGGACGTCAGACCAGCAGAGGACCAGATGAAGGTGGAGGAGGGGGAGGGGGAGAGGGCTCCCGGCCAGGAAGTCCTTTTTGTTCTCAGCCAGCTCTTCTGCCATGTTCAGCACATCCAGGTAGGAATGAGTGACTTTAACACTGTAGAACTGTAGATTCTGATCGGCTCGATGGTGTAAATTAACTTTTAGTAGCTGTCCCGACGATGTAAACAAAGTGAAGATAGGACTCTGAAAACTCTGAAAACATCACAGACAGTGGGACTCGGGTGTTACACCCATTGTAGACAGTCATGACTCACAGAGTTATTTTCAGAGGATATACTTGATTTCTACATTTAAGTGAGAAAAATCACATATAAAGCCTTTAAGTTCTAAAACGCCTCCAGTTAGGCAGCTAAACTATTGTTATCAAATCACCGAGGATGGATGTTAATGCAAGATGTAAACAGCCACTGTGTTCAGATGAGAAGTGTGTTGAAATTGTGTGCTGTAATAACTCCAACATAATATTTCCTTCTTTCAGGTGATGATGCCCGGAGGTCAGAGTGAACCCTTGTTCCTGTCCTGTCTGGAGATCCTCAGCCACTACGAGGCCGTCATGGCCGCGTTCCCCAACAGCAGCAGCGCGCTGGAGAGCGAGAACACCCGTCACTTTTTCTCCACCATCACCGCCAACCTGGAGAACGAGGAGATGAAGGCCGTGCTGCGGCAGAAGATCGCTCAGCTGGTGTCCTCTGCTGCTTGAGAAGCCGGTACTTCACTGGTTTTTCAGACTTTTCCTGATGAATCTTACCGTGTTTGCTGATTGAAAATGAAGTTCAGTAATCATTCTATGAATTACCTTATTACAAAGTGAAAGATCAATAAATGAATAAAAAGCATTCATTTCTTTCTGAACAGATGGTCAGTTTCATGATCTGCTGCGTGGGATAATATTCAAAATGAATCCATTGTAAACCTGGGCCACCTTGTTCTTTGGACACAAGCAGTTATTAGAACGAGCCCCACATGATTTCATAAAAGTCATTTTATTCATATATATATATATATATATATATATTCTGTGCTAAACATAGAGCTTTAACAACACAACACACTCACAATGATTCAAATGTAGTGCAACAAAGACACCTGAGACTCCTCTGCTCATGGATGTACCGGGACATCTGTTCAGGGAGAAATATCTGGAGATTTGAAAAGAGTCGGAAAGAAAATTACTTTTCTGGAAAGTAAAAATAAACAAATCTAGAAAAGTATGAATATCTTCAGGAAAACCTCATTTAAAACATTCACAATCTTTGGGCCTCATTCACCCACCGCTCTTAAGAAGAACTGTGTTCTTCAAACTGACTTACAGTTTTTAGAAGATCCTGACATTCACTGAAGTTTTCTTATCTGGGATTTATTCTTATTCTAAAAATGTGCCTAGCACAAAATATCAGTGCGTCTCTCTTCTGTTTCCAGGTATTCATCCCCTCAGATTTGAATTCCCCATGTCATGAAACATACACTTCCCTCTTTAAATTCAGCGTTCCTGAGTTAAAAGTTCATTTACCTGCCAAATTTATTTAAAATTTAAATAAAATTTAAATTTTACTTCTTAATATCGGGATTTTCTCGTCCTGTAAAATGTTTTAAATGTCTGATGACTCATCCTGCACAAGCTTTTTTGAAGCGAACAATCCAATCAAAATCATTCCAACATTATGTCCTGCCTTCTATCTTCTGATAAGTTTTATCTAATCGATGCATTTCAGTAGGACAGGCGTCACAACACAGTAGTTAAAAGTTCAAAAATGTGCGTCATTTTCTGACATTGTTTCTGATGACAGCTCCGTCTGAGCTCTTGATATTATCTGATGTTTCTGTTTGTAGTTTCCATTTATATCCACTACTGACGCGGCTAAATATGTCATTAAGTCAGCCTGTTTGGGTTTCATTTGGAGTATCACTACATCCAGTTCAATATTTAAAACTTGGCGTCCAGCATTAAATTGTATAAAGATTTTAATTTAGGTAGGTATTCCCCAAAGTCTCCACTTCTCTTAAAGATCCAGTGTGACTTATGTGTGTGTAGTTGAGCACACAGCCCTGCAGTCTCATGCCCTTATATGGGCATAGATCAATTTAGGAACACAGGTGAGAACAATTGAGCTGAACCATGAAGCAGACGAGGGTGTTTCTTTTTAACTTTCTAAAGAACACGTTTCAGAAAAAGCTTAAGGTCTTTAGTGACTGAGGTCCTATGAACTCAGGATCATAAAGGCAGTGTTTCTGAAGGACAAAATATATATTTTCATAATTTATTCAGAGAAAATAAATGATCAGCTTTTATGATACATAATCCATCACCCCCCCCCCCCCCCCCCAAAAAAAAAGATCTTTACTATGAAAATAGTAAGCAGTGGTCCTAGTTCATTGTGTCGGAGTAAAGCTAATCTATTCGGTCAACAGACGACTCGTCAGTCGTCTTCGGCCTGTCTTTGCCTCCGTCTCTCTTCTGTCGCAGGTACAGTCTTCTAGCTTTCTTCAGCAGCAGGATCAGCCAGTAGACCTGCGGAGCCAGGATCGCCAGGTTACCCACGTTGCAATGCAGCGGCAGATGAAAGGCAACTCTGTGCAGAGGGATCCCAAACTGCTGGCCGTACATCCAGTACATGAAGGGGAAGACGAGGATCCGACATGTGAAGAAGGTCAGCAGGACGATGATGCCGTTGATCCTGTGCAGCCTGCCGTTATCGAGGCCCAGCTGGATATCAGGGGGAGAGAACGTGAAGAGGAATAATACCGTTAGCTTGTTCACAGCATGGACTGTACATAAGAGTATGTAGCCTCTGTTGTTCACGATGGCGGTGTGACTAGTTGTGAACATCGACTGTAGCGGTGTCTTAGTTCAGGCGCTGCATCCCTCAGAGTGGACATTTGAAGATCAATCACCAAATAGTGGCACGTTGGAGACTGTCCCATTTCAAAGGCTCCTTCAGATGCTTTCTCTCTTCCCCAGGCAACAAAGAATCCATCTAATGCATCCTTTGTAGCCCAACATATCCCCTGATTCATAGCACAACAATTCAAACAAGCTAGCAGTTAGTTAGTGTTTACTACTAAATCAAAAAGCTACAATACTGAAAAAACACAAGGGGCCTTAAAACTTCTAACTATCTTTAATAGCAGCTTAAGTAACGTGACGTCAGTTATGTTAACTAGTTCTGAGGCAGCTGTTACGGGTTGCTAGGCGACAGGGACAACGCTGAGAAAGGAAAAGGAAATGGGGGCAGCTGGGGACAAACAGAGTCCTCAGTAGACCAGAACGTCTAATTTCAGATCAGCCTGAGCAGTCTGCACAGGCTACTAAGGACCTTCAAGGGACGCTGCCCCTGATTCAAGACAGAGTTTAAGGTCTAGTCCACACGCAGGCATTTTTATAACGTCACTTTTTCTGTGTGTTTTGGCCTTTTGTCCATGCAAACTGTGTTTTAGCTCACTGAAAACGCACCATTTGGAAATCCTCTTCCAGTTTTCAGCTTGTAACATCACACTGTCACCCAGTTTCTCCTGTCACTTTTGTTTAGATGAGATTAGTGCGATGGCAGACGAAACCAAACTAAATGAAATGGTCAATGGAGAGGAATGGCAAGAATGTTTTTGACTCGGCGTGCTCATAACAGCTGTAACAGTGTGTTTTGCATTTTCATGTGGATGAAGATGTTTTTAAGAAATCTTTTTTTCAACCGCCAGGGGAAAATGTAAACAAAGAATCTTTTCCTCTGCTTGCTGTTATTTTTTATTAGAACCTGACCTGGTGTGTTAAAGGTAATTAAAAGTATTAAAAATAACTTTATGAAATCCTTTATCTGAGGTTCTAGTTAGATTTTTAGGGTTTTGAAAGAGGCATCAGTGGTACATTAAGTCCATCGGTTTACCTGGATGAGAATCTTCCCCGTGGAGACGAAAGGAGTGCTGAACTCTGTGGTGAAGAGACAGCCGATGAAGAAATCCCCGAGTCCTCTTCTGAAGAACTGCAGAACACAAACATCCATCAGTCGTCACCCTAAATACTAAACACACACATACTCACACTCAGAGACTCATATTGATCCATAAATAATTTACTAATTATAAAGCATTCAATGGTTTCACAGTCCCATTAAAAAACTTGGAAATCTCAATAATTCACTGCGAGGACACACCAGAAACAGCGTCGACATATAAAACACAGATATACAGCAAGAAGTTATAAATATATGGAGAGATGGCTCAACTATAAACAGAGCGATCAGAAACCTTGACGGTGATTCCTCCTCGTGCTTACCAGAGTGATGGGCAGGAAAACGAGAAGCAGCACCAGGTGATGGACCACCAACATCCAGTCCTTCATGAGGAAAGCCTTGACTGTGCGCGGGGAGTGGCCGCTGTTCGAGCTGGAATGACCTCTGACCCTCTGAGTGTGGAAGTGGCTCAGATACATGGCGAAGATGTCGTAGGCCATGTAGGGCGCTCCGAACACAACGAACCAGTTGGTCAGCCAGTGACTGCGTACGGTGAGGCAGCATTTGTTAATCCTGGGGCAGTTCATGTTCTCTATGGTGATTAAAAACTCAACTTTCCCCACCTGTCAGTCATGACGTCGCTGCAGGAGGTCACCACTCTGACTCCAGCTGCAGTAGCCAGAGAGCCATGGATGGCGGAGACGAGCCTGGAGAAACACAGCTAGGTATAATTATTCTCTTAAATAGGAAAAACAACAATTAAAATCACATTTAGTTGCTTGTTACTTCGACACAAGACATGCACTTCTCGTCAAACCAGAGAAATTTTTCATGCTTAACTTTTAACCATTACAAACGCTTTCAGACAACTACACCAAACTCCATTAGAAAACATGCATATTAATAAGTGACTTGCTTATTGGCACATGTGCATAGATCTGAAATAAGTTCTTAAATATTTAACCCACCGAGAGGTCAAAATTGCTGTCTAAAGCCAACATATTGCCCAAACGTCTTAAAAATTAGGTAAAACTCCAACTCTTCATACAGCTCTAAAGTTGCCATTCTGATATGGACGTAACATTAGAAAACGAGGGTTAAAATCAAACTTTTATTTTCAGTGAATGTTATATATATATATATATATATATATATATGCAGACTATTAACCAAACGTTTTAGTTGTAAATAGCAAAAAAAAATGTACTGCTATTCTCAAATCTGTCATGCCCCTATATTAAACCTGAAATAGACAACAGAGTTTTATCTGCTTTTTAAGTGTGTCTTGCTAATGATGATCAGCATACTATAAGATTACTTTAATAGTTCACTCATTAGGAGATATCTTCCACTCACATGTTGCACATATGAATAAATCTTCAATTTGTTCAGACATTTTATTAAACCGGTGTATTATATGAATGTAAATCTACAACAGATCTTCACAGCGTGTGTATATTAGAAATGTTCCTAATAGTGTTTAATTAGTCTGCAGGCCCTTGTTAGTAAATTGAACAAATAGACAATTACACCAAACTCCATCAGTAAACTGTATTAGTTTTCTGTTTTTCGACACCGAGAAATAAATCATTTAAGACTTCTTAAATGTGGTACCCACTCAGGTGAAATGTTGTGTCTTCGGCTATTAATTTACACACATTTGCAAAACAAATGAGTACTTTGTAAGTGTTTGCTAGCCACTTGGTGGATTCAATTTGAGAGGAAGAGAAAACACTTCACTTAAATGAGCCAATAGTTTAAACTATGACTGCAGAATTAAGCAGACATTTATATTAAAGTAACATCGATACCAACAAAAACCTTCCAGCGTGTTTAAAGTGATTTATAAGTGCTGAGTTTCTAAAGGGAGCTCGGTGAGGAGAACCGTGCGAGGCCCAGCTGGGTGCAGCAGCTGACCTCTCACTGACCGACACCACGTCGGCGTCACTCCACTTAGTCGAAGTGTGTCTCAGTATTTTCCTGAAGCTGTAGAAAAGCCCCGGAAAAACCACGGCTCCACAAGCTAGGGCAGAAATCATGATCTCAGCCGACCTCTTCGTCCCTCTGTGGCCTCCACGCCGCCTCAATAATGGAAAATAGAGATTTCTAAGATATTAAGCGACCGAAGGACTGACGCTAATGAAGCTGGCTCATATCAAACGGGAGTAGCATTAGCCTGTCATCTTAGCTTTTGCATTGTTGCTAAACTTCCCTGTCACACGGATCAGTTTCATTTAGAGGAATATTATTGGTTGAAGAAAAGGCGCTTTGAACCAATAGCAAGAACTGACCTCAAACGCCCCCTGTTATAATAGATTAATCTACGTGACTACGTTTATGAGTGCACCTTATTATTTACAGTGCACACATTTGTTTCATGAGGGACAAAAAATGACTAAAGTATAAATAAATAAATAAATGTTGGGAGAAATGCATGCAATAATGTATAAATAAATAATTAAATAAATGCATCAATAAATATATAAATGCTTAAAACAATACATCAATGAATAAATAATAAATACACTTTGTTAATGAAAAAGGCTATTTATATATTTTTACATGTATTTATTCATTTATTAGCGTATTTCTACAGTTATATATGTATCAATGCATACATTTCCACATTAATTGAGTTATTAATTTATTTCTGTATTTTTACATTTACACATCTATTTATTTCTGTGTCCAGGTCGTAAGAGGAAAAGTATATAAGTAAATTTACTTCTGTCTGTCTTTCAAAATTGACCAATCCTTCTTCAGTAATGTTAGGACGGCCCACTTAATTTACATATTTACTTTTCCTTGAACAACATGGACACAGAAATAGATAAATAAATATATGAATATATTTATGGCCCTCGCAACCCTGTGCATGTTGGGGTGTGTTGTGACCGCGGGAGTGCAGCAGAACGTGGCAAAGCAGCAGGCCGTGCAGTTCGATTTGAGTCGTAGTACTGGCATGTTGAAATAGGCAACGTAATGAAGATCACATTAAATTTTGACGTAGAGCAGTTCAGGCTGGCACTGTCATGATAGCTATGACATTTGGAGGAAATTGAGCATTGTATAGAGGATGTAGTACTTACTCTTTGCTGTAGGGGGCGCTATGGTTGAAGTTGACTATTGTTATATTAAAGTGTTCAGAGACCATCCCTGATCATACAAGTGAAATTTCAATCAGATCAGACAAAATATATAGGATGTAGTACTTAGTCCTTGCAGTAGGGGGCACTATGGTTGAAGTTGACTATTGTTATGTTAAAGTTTTCAGAGGCCAACCCTGGTTATACTTGGAAATTTTATGCAGATCAGACAAAGTGTCTGAGATACAGTACCGCCTCTTTCCAGTAGGGGGGCTATGTTAATGGAATAATTGTATTAGGTTAGATGTGATCAGGCCAGTACTGACATTGTTCATGTGAAATTTTGAGTAAATCTGACATTGTATATGGGAGGTAGTACTTATTGTTTGCACTAGGGGGCCTTATGGTTAAAATTTGTTATAGCTATGTGACTGTGTTCAGAGGCCAACACTGATTATACCTGTGAAATTTGGAGCAAATCTGACATTGTATATGGGAGTTAATACTTAATCTTTGCAGTAGGGGGCACTATGGTTACAATTTATTATTGCTATGTGACTGTGTTCAGAGGCCATCCCTGATTACACAAGTGAAATTTGGTGAAAATCTGACATTGTATATGGGAGGTAGTACTTATTCTTTGCACTAGGGGACACTATGGTTAAACTTTATCATTGTTTTGTCATTGTGTCCAGAGGCCAACCCTGAACATACCTGAGAAATGTGAAAAAGATCAGACAAAGTGCACGAGATGCAGTACTTACTCCTTGCAGTAGGGGGCGCTATGGTTAAAGGAAATGATTGTTATGTGAATGTGTTCAGAGGCCAACCCTGATCATACCTAGGAAATTTTAAGCAGCTCCGAGAAAGTATGTATGCTGTAGTATTTAGTCCTTGCATTAGGGGGTGCTATGGTTAAAGTTTAATATTGTTATGTCAAGGTGTTCAGAGGCCAACCCTGATCATACCTGGGAAATTTTAAGCAGATGGGAGAAAGTATGTATGATGTAGTACTTAGTCCTTGCAGTAGGGGTCGCTATGGTTAAACTTTATTATTGTTTTGTGTCACTGTGTTCAGAGGCCAACCCTGATCAATGTAATTTCAAGAAGATCAGACAAAATATATAAAAGTTACAGCCACTTCCTGTTTGATGAGGATGTGATTTGTGGACTTCCTGTTGAGTTTTGGGCGTGGGTGCATGAGCCTTTTTTGTAGGTTTTGTCATGTTAGAAATGCATAGTAAAATTCAGACAGCGTTGGACGTAGGCGTTTGAGGTTGAAAGTGTTGTATGGCCAAGGTGTTAGTATGGTCCACACCAATTTTGAGGGGAAAATGAGCTACCTTGTAGCAATGGCTAATGCTAATTGAGAAGCAGTAACTTCCTGTTGTCAACAGGTGGCGCTGTGACTAATCAAAAAATGTAAATCATGGATGTGTTCAGGGCAGGCCCTGTATCATGTATGAGAAATTTTAATATGATTGAACACTAGATGGCAGAGATATAAGCATTTACTTTTTCAGGAAACTTGCCAAAACGCTCAAAAAACTTTTGACGCATGCCACGCCCACGCCCATGCCCACGCCCACGCCCACGTCCACGTCCACGTCCACGTCCTTTGACGAAATAACGTGCGGAGCACAACGAGATATGTTGAGCCTGTCTAGAACACACTGACACTGAGTTTGCGTTGATCGGATGAGCGCCCTCGGACAAGTGCGTTTAAATAGGAAGGCTGAAATCTGCGATTTTGGGCCATTATCGTGAAATTCAACTTTAATTTGTGGACTTCCTGTCGGGTTTTTTGAAATGCCGCTAGAGGATTTTTAGTCCGTCCCGACAAGCTTAATATGCATACTAAGTTTTGTGAGTGTACGTGAAAAAAACCTTTATGGGGAGGCCATTTTGAAATTTTCAAGGGGGCGCCACTGAGCCATTTTGCTAATTTTTTTTACGAAACCACCAAAATATGAAATTTTTCATGAGACCTGATGAGCGTGGAAAGTTTGGTGAGTTTTCAGGCACGTTCAGGCCCTCAAAAGTGGCTGCAAAGAGGAGGAACAATAAAAAGAAGAAGAAGAATCGCTAGGGTTTCAAGAGGGTCCTCGCACGGTTCGTGCTCGGGCCCTAAATATATTTATATATTTATTTATATATTTATTGTATGCATTTCTCCCAACATTTATTTATTTATTTATACTTTAGTCATTTTTTGTCCCTCATACAACGTAATACATGAGAGCTGATCCAAATGTAATAGAAAACAAACCAAGGAAAGGAAGTAGCATTGCCATGGGGTTTATTGAGAATTCGTCTATGGGATTTTTACATTGGATTTTGGAAAAAAAGAGTTTGCAAGAGCACTGAAAAACACGTCTAGAGGCTGTAAGGCGGACTAGTGAGAGAGTTCCCGCCCTCTGTGTCCAGCGTGATGACAACCAACAACCACTGTAGTCACATTTAGTCTCTTGTTAGCAACCGCCTTTTTAAAGACGAGTAAAAACTTCAAAATTCACAAGTGGGGGTATTACCTAACGTAGTTTATGTGGTCTAACAAAACACCAACATCTCTACAGCTCTTTTTAACCACAGACCTTATTTCAGGAGTCTAACCACAAACCCTTTCATAATCCCCATTGACTTTTAGACGTTAGACCCCATGGCGCTCAAATGCTAACTTACTTCCTGGTTTTAGGACTCATTCCTGTGGTGCCCTATATAAAAAATAAAATAAAATAAAATGAACTTGACCTTCAAGGGGCGGTGGGGGTTCTGTTGTAGGTATGTCTTTGATTTTAAAGCAATTTAAAGGACAATGTATGAACTATTATAACAATAACCATGGGAGATTGAAGCCTTTAGAGCAATGCTTCTCAACCCGTCTAGCCTAAGAACCCACCAATACCTCCTAATGACGCCCAAAAATATTCAACCACTCAAATTCATTTATTTTCATTTTTTTGTTCTTTGATAATTAAGAACCCTATTCTCAAATCTTTCAAATCGAGTTCTTATAAGTTTAAGAACCTGAAACTTTTCTTGAAAGACCACCTGACAAACAGTTTGTAGTGTTGTACACTGAGCAACAAGTCATGATGGATTGAGTCTCATATGACGTGTTGTCTTTATGTCTGTTTGTCCCCTTTAATGATTTTCATTCACATTCCTGTTTTATTATTATTTTTTAACTCATTTGTAGTTTGGACCATAAAATATCAGGACATTAACCAGCTTTAAGTTTATAATGTGATGTGAAAAACAGAAAAATAATGCAAGTGATAGAGAGTAAAAATGAGAACCATGGACAAAGTCAGAAATGAAATAAAATGTGAGGCACAAATAAATATTTTAAATAATCTAAAGAAAAATGTACCTAATAAAACAGAGATGATCGTTTTTCAAATTAATTGTAATTTTTATTTTTATTTATTTTTTCAAATTTAATTTCCAAATTTGTTAAAGTGGGAGGAAACCAAAGCGCTTGGAGTAAACTCACACTACCCAGGACTCTATGTTGTCCTGAAGTGTCTTAAATATCAAGGACAGAGATATTATACTGCTCTTTAAGTTGTATACTGCACACACCTGGAAATAATTTGTATCTGATAGAGGAGTCCCCTTTCAGTTGAATGTTTGCTTAGAAGTGTTGTTGGCAGGATGAGTGATGAGTTGCCAGGAAATGCCTAAATCTAAGATAGGATCCCCCACAGTGGAAGGTAAACAAGGGGACCCCTGTGTCCAGAGAGATACCCAAGAACAAGAAACAGATGTCCTCATGTGTCCTGTGACATTATGTATAAATAGCACTCTCAATGTATGTTCGGGAGAGATCATTATTGGCTTCTTGACTCTCCTGGGCAGACGTGTTCAGTGATTCTGCAACTTGTTAATAAATAATTCTGTTTAAAAGCAAGTCAGTATCAACGGCGAATTTCTTCATCATCAAACATATCAACAACAAAGGGAATCCACATCAGTCCTGTGTGGCCCTGGTAGGACCTGAAGTCCTTCCTCATGTCCAGGTTAGACCCTCTGAGCTAGGAGCCAATGAGAGGCTGATAACACAGAGAATAACCTGAACATGAGGTCTGACGTCAGGCCCCGGGAGACCTTTCTGTCATAGCAGGAGCTGAAAGACACGCTGCTACACAAAATGATGGCTGTGAGAAAGGTCTGTCCCACCCACCCACCTGAGGACCAGCAATGGTAACATGTCTTTAGCCACGTTTAAAGAGGCTAGTGAAAGAATTCCACTTGGACTTGAAGAATTCTTTGATGCCCCTGCTCTCTTTGGGTAAAAGGCGCTTTTTCAGAGTCTCAGTCACCAACTCCATGACTGAGGGAGTCTGTAATATCAGGTTCCTCCAAAGCCACCATTTTCCAATCTTCTCACGCAGGTCTTTGTGCACCTCCTCACATACCTTTCTGATCTTCTTGTGTTTTAAATCAATTTCAATTCCAGAGGCTCTTACTTCTACCAAGAGCATGTTTCTCAATGTTTTTACAGTGGCTTTGTAGGCTTCAAAGGACTTATTAATGTGTACGTCTTTCATTAGCGTTTGCATCAGCTCTGACACCAGGATGTCACAGGCCAGTTCATCCCACTCCCAGTGTGTGGGGGCTACTTCTTCTTCACACACAGCTTCATCTTCACACACAGTTTCCACAACTTTCTCGATCTCCTTCAGAGCGTGGCTTACATTATCCCTACTCTTCAGGTGCTGTTGTGCCTGCTGTGTCAGCCAGGTACACATCGTCTCCATGAAAAAGTCCATCTCAGACAAAATCTCTGCCCTCATTTCCTTGTCTGTGCCTTCAAAGACTCCTTTTCCCACAAATTTCAGGTGCTCGCACAAAACATTACTCAGATTCGCGGTGTCGTGATGGCCGCTGGAAATATTGTTGGCAATCCTTTCGTACAGGCATATCTCATCTGTACCCGAGTTTCTGGCTTCATCTTCAGCCCGAGAGGTCATCTCTATCACCGTGACTTCCACGGATAGAAAGAGCAGCTGCATTGAAGCTTTGTTTATATTTTGTTGGCAGATTTTAAGTTTGCTCTTTAAAGTCGCCCTCATGTTCAGGATTGCTTCCCGAGCATATGTGCGGACAAAGAGAGCCTTAATTTTGTTTGCGAGCCTCTTCCATATTGAAGTTTTGGGTGACTCCATCTCTGATTTGATCTCCTCATCAGGTGTAACATCCAGGTCCTGCTCATTTTCACAATTTACCATTTCCACAATCTCAAGTGCAAGTTCTTCAGAGTCGCTGGAAGATCTGGATAGGTGCAAGCCTAATTCTTCTTTAGACATGTTACCATTCACACAATGTGTAAGTTTGCTGCACACCTCCTCAAGGATCAACCTTACTGCATTGACAGATGAAATGCATTGGTTTTCTACAGAACAAACATACTCTTGTCTCTCTCCTTGTAGATGAGTAATGGGGACCAGAGATGTTTTAATGACCTCCTCCTCCTGATCAGGTGGAGTCTGTTCAATGTCCTCATCCTCATCAACCAGTGTTGGTTCATCCTCCTCCTCCTGATCAGGTGGAGTCTGTTCAATGTCCTCGTCCTCATCAACCAGTGTTGGTTCAACCTCCTCGTTCTGATCAGGTGGAGTCTGTTCAATGTCCTCGTCCTCATCAATCGGAGTCGGTTCAACCTCCTCCTCTTGATTAATCGGAGTTGGTTCAACCTCCTCTTCCTGATCAGTCAGAGGTATTTCTACTTCCTCCTCCTGCTCAGTACACGCCTCTAAATTTGACGGAGATTCAACTTGCTCTGCTGTGTTTTCAGCAGAACAGGACAAGAACTCTGCCAAACATTTTTTTAGCATTTTTCCAACATGCTTTGCAATATTTGTCATTCTGGTAGTGAAGGTCTTGCGTCCCTCAAATTTCTCTCCAATGCCGTCACTCCCTTTGGACCCTTTGGAGAGCTCAGAGTTAACTCTCTCTGTGGCCTCTGTGACCATGAGCCATGTCACCTGCTCTGCATTGGGGCAACAGATGTCACCCTGTACTCCCATCGTCTCAGCCAAAGTCTGTGCAATGGTGACACCCAAGTCACCAAGATACTCGTGCACCTGCTCTTCAGAAAGAGCCAGGCTGTTCTGGGACCCTTTGGATCCAGAGGGTGATTTTGTTGGTCTGTCACTCTCCTCTGTTGGTTTCTTTTTGTAAATCTCATGGATGTATTTAGATATAGTATCGATTATATCTAAACACATAGCCATGAGAAGCTTTTTGGTCCAATTATCAAAAGATCCGGCCTCCATATTGGTCCATTGTACCTTTGTCATCTGTTCGAGGCACGATTGGATAATGGGGCACAGAGAGTCTTTGTAGAACTTTTGTTCCATCTTGTCCATGCTGCTTGTGGAAGTCATCTTATCTGATGTTTGTGGTCGCTTTGTGTCTCCTGACAATAAATGTGACTTAAAACACCTGAAGTGAAGTTTGTCTCCTCCTGTTAGCTTTGTCCTGTAAGCTGTTTGAGAGTGTTTGGGTGGTTCTATATAAACTCTGCCTCAGAATGTTGGACTTGGATCTATGACATCACATTCCAAATCAAAGGACAGTCACCAGGCCACTCAAATCTGACATTGTTTATTTTCAAAAACTTTATTTAAAACAGTAGCCTCACACTGATTCTGTCAAGTTCAAACAATAACACAACGTTTCAGGGACAAAAAATTAAAAGTATAAAAAAACTTAAGTATAAATAAATAAATAAATGTTGGGAGAAATGCATACAATAATGTATAAATAAATAATTAAATAAATGCATCAATAAATATATAAATGCTGAAAACAATACATCAATGAATAAATTAATTATTTATTTATTTATACATTATTGTATGCATTTCTCCCAACATTTATTTATTTATTAATTTATTTATTTATACTTTAGTCATTTTTTGTCCCTCATATTGTTTAGCACAAATGTAACTTATTCAATTGATATCAGAATCTGAAATACTTTTAATTACCACAGTCATTACAGTGGCTCTTATATAACATATCAGTGGGATATATGGGCATGTAGAGTAGGCTGATTAAATACAAAATTAGAAAGAAGTAAAAAATACAAGTTTTGTCGATGGAATACAAAGAGTATAACGTTTAAACGTTATTGCATGTGTAGTCATTGATTACTTTATTTTGTTATTGTGAGAAGTAAAAGATGCTTCATTACACTAAAATGTACATTGTCAGTAATTAATAAAAAGTGGAATATATTAATAATCTAGTTGTGTAATAAAATTAATTCCCAATAATACGGCAAAAAAAAAAATCGGATGCAGCTTAGGGCTGAACCTAAGACAGACAGAGCAAACTGTGAGCCTAAAACCTCAGGAAGATGTTCTGGGACGTTTAGTGAACAGAATCCATTTTGACCAGGGACGATAAGACTTTGTATTCAGGGACTTCAGAGCACTAAAATACTGTAAGGTGCATAGAGCAGATAACTTCATCAGTAATTACCCAATTTGTGGATATTTTGAATTGATTTTGTGTTGCAATTTCCTTTTATTTCTTAAGTTCATACCTCTTAATTCCTTTTTTTATCTTACAATTTTAGATGTTTTAATATCTGTTCTGCTCAGTGTGAGATGCCTCTCAATGCTTAATGTCAAATGTTCTGCTTTTAACTCTGTAGAGCACTTTGAATTGCTTTGTGTATGAATGGTGCTCTATAAACTTTCCGTGCCTTGTTTACTTAAATAAAGTCATCTCTCAGAGAGGATTTGTCCTCGACCCACACATTTCAGCTAAATCTGAAAGTTGTTTGTTCGAAGGGATATATTCATTAAATATAAACAATATCAAGAAGAAGAAAACATCAAATCTCACAATAATTTATTTTGTTTTTGACATAATGTTTAATTTCCTCGTTCCACCATCTGCAGTAGGTGTGTTACTTGATGCACATCTTCAGTTTCTGTACTGAACACAACATGCCGGTGGCCACATTTTTTCAGCACCTCCTGCAGAGGCTCCCCATTCTCCTCTACGTGTTTCTCCAATGTCGTTCCACTCAGCTCCTCTCCAAAGGTGAACAACACAACAGTGCTTCTCCACACATCATCCCCCAAAATGCCGAGGAACTCCTCCACAGCTCCTCTGTCCTCCTCATAAAACGAGTCCACCGGTATAGCCAGCAGGAAGGTCACTTTGCTCCCTTCAGGGCAGAGAGAAGTGCTCTGGTTAAGCTCTGTCACCACCTCCTCGGCGTCGGCCAGACCGTACAGACTCCACCCAGGGGTGTCCACCACGGTGACAGCTCGCCCTGAAACCGTCCCATGGCCGACAGAGGACCTGGTGGTCTGTCCGTACTGATAGACCTCAAACTCTTCTCTGTTCAGGATGATGTTGCCTGCTGAGCTCTTCCCTGACTTCCTCTTCCCCAGCAGGATGAAGGAGAGAACCGGTCTAGAGCTGACTCCTGCGATGACATGAAGTGCGTCACAGTTTAATAAAAATTTTTGTAATTCATAAACTGTATTAAGAAGTGGACATAGTCTTTAAGTTTCAAAAGTGAAGCCATTTTCTCTGACATTAGGATCAGAGTAACGTGTTACAGATTGCTTTCTCATGCCACTCATTGAGTCATCGACAACTGAAAAGGCAATGATGGTAAACAAATCTACCTGACCGCTGTCTTTGTCCAGGCCTGCCATCCCATACATCATGCCTCTCTCTCATCTCCACCTCTACTTGTCCATCCTGCCGACTCCTCAACCCCTCCATCCTCGCCTCTCGTCTTAGATTGGTGTACAACATGTTCTGGATCTCCCAGGAACGGTTGTTGGTCGCCATCATGCTTCGGATCTTCTTGAAGAGCTCTGTGACCTGCGTGTCTGAGGCACTGGGCTGGTTGGTCATAACCTGGTACCTGTTCCCACATCGCTCCAGCAGCCAATGGAAAGTCCGTCCTTTTTGTCTTATGTGCTCCTGAATGCGCAAGATTCCTACAACAGATGGAGCCAATCACCATCATTTCAGTCCTAAAAGCTAATTTCAGCATGCTACTTGATTAAAAAGACAATATGCTGTGGTTTAGCAGTATCACTTTAATCATGTTTACCTTCTAAATTTAGTTGTAAGCATTTTATGAAGCCAATAAGCTTTAAGTATGACACAGAGCCAAGGCTGGTAGACGTGTCATTTTGCAAGAACTTGACATAAACCTGAATATTGAATTAAAGGAAAATAGGATGATGAAAGGCATGCATGTTTGGTGAAACAAAACTTTGTCAATCCATGCAGAAGGCTTTGAGAAATTGCATTCAAAGAGTCAACATGTGGAAAAGTCAGCAGATAGCCAACAACAGATAGGAAGACACTATAATAAGGTTGCAGTGCTCTCTGTTTAATTAGCAGTGATGCACCTCAACTCATAAGCCAGACACGAGTAAACTGTCATTACTTTACCTAATTTATCTCCATGTGTGATGAGGACAATAGCTCTGGGCCAAATGGGGGTTTGGAGCAGTCCGAGTTGAGCCTCCATGGCCTTCCACTCCTTTTGGCCAAAGACGGAGGTGGTGGGAAGCACCAACAGGATGACATGGGGCTCTGGACTGCAGAGAGTAAGACCTCTGAGGAGTTCCTGGGTCACTCTGTCTGGAGTTGAGGTATGGGAGAACCAGCCCGGGGTGTCAACAACCGTCACCTGGTAGATCAAATTCATTCAAAATGAGAGAAGACCCAGTTACGCGACCTCTTGCGATAAACTGATTTCTACTTCTCGATTCACGCAGACCTTTATGAATTTGGTCCTTGCTGCCTTATAGTCCTAAACATTTTGCTCTGCTGCACTTTGAATTTGAGTTTTAAAGCTCCCATGAGGAACTTATTGACGGTATTGGTTTTGGCGCCCACTGTGGACGAAGCAGTTCTTAGTTGTTTCACATGTTTACAGGAACTTTGCTCTACACAGATTTTAACGTTTTATACTCTGCAAAAAATATCCAATTTGAGGGCTTTCATCGCAAGGTTTTTGTTTTTACAGACTTAAAGGTAGAGTCACATTGTTGGTTGCAGCTTATAAACACAACATTCATACTGGGCCACTAATGGGCTCATTAGAAGAGCACACTCACTGCAGGATGTAGTGTGTACATATACTGCTGCCTACACTGCAAGCTACTGCACGCTAGCACAAGCTAACCACTCGTTTTGGAACGAGCTCTAACCACATAACTCTGCCTTAATTTGGGACAGGCTTTAATAAGAGAGAGGCTTTTAATTACTTTGAAATATAACTTATGCACAGCAAATATTGGAAGTACTCGAAAACTCTACACCAATTTACACCAGAGACTTTTGCACAAAGTCAGGAAATCAATAAACAAATCTGTGTAAAATCACTACGCCTGATTTGATTTTGTTTTTTAACAGTAAGCCAACCTGCTGCACAGCTTACATGAAAACAAACGTCATTTGTCTTTTTTGGATGGATGTTGAGGTATATTTATTTTGTGTCTTTCTGCTTTTTTTCTATATGTTTATTCCACTAACTAATCATTTCTAAATGCATAAGAGCCTCTATTTGATTGAGGAATAATTGCAGTTACAAAGGAAAGGAATAATTTTTCTGCACTAAGAGAGAGAAAGCCCCAAAGCTTCAAACGGCTTCTTCCTCCCATCACAAACATGTGACCTCAAAAGAGCGCTCAAGAAACCAGTGAGAGAAGTCAAGCTGTCTGCTACCTTTATTTATTTATACATTCTATGAAAAAGACAAGGCTGTGTAAGGGTTTGGGAAAGTGGGATGCAATTGCGGACCCCAGGTATCTGAAAGTTATCCCAGAGAGATAACCACTAAAATCACAAGCAATTAAATAGGAGGGAACAAAAAAAAAAAAGCTACTAGCCAAATAACAAGGTTCTCTTTTCTAGATATAAACAAGACCAGAAACGAAACCACCGCTGCCGAGCAGCTGACAAAAAAACTTGATTAAAGGAAACAGAAATTCCCAGCACCAACAAGCTACACTTGTAGCTCTACTGGAAACCTTATGTAAACACACAGAGGAAAGACAAGTGGTGGTTATGCAAAATCACATACTTCTAGAGGACACAAGAAGCACAGAGAGAACCTCTCACTACCTCTGATGGTGAGACAATGAGCCAGCACAGAGTGCTGCAACTCAAGGGAATATATAACCTTTACACACCTGGACCAATTCAGGACCAATCAGTCACACACACACCTGACACTGCACCGAGATGATGACCTCCCCACACTCACAGAGTGACCAGTGTGATCTCCCTCACAGGCTGAAGTTAAAATGAGATGAACTTTTTCATTTACTTGTTTTCCAAAAACAGTGCCGTTCTCTCTGGAGCTGCGGGTGGTGTTCTCCTGAAAGGCTCGTCTCCCCAGGATGGTGTTTCCCACTGAGCTCTTCCCACTCTGTTTCTCTCCCAGTAACAGCACTGACAGGTTTGTCTCCGGACCTGCCAAACATTTTATGATCTTCAATAAATGAAAGTCAGATAACAATGCCCAGTGACTTTTAAATGACTTTTAATAACTCACCATTTGCAGCCGCCATGTAAAGGTTCCCGTTTTTAATCATCCACAGTGAGAATGTGGGTCAAAGACTGAAACCTCTCTCTGAAAGCAACTCCTCTTATAGGACTCAGTTTCTGCTTTTACTTCCTGCTGCTGATTCTTTGGTAAATATACAATCCTTCAACGTGAACTACACAACTCAAATTAGTTTCAAAGTTCACAACTAAGGAGTTCCTTGGAAGTGCCTTCGGTGGAAATGATGACTCAGTTGAAAAACACACATGATGAATATAAACAGACAGCTACACAGTCATCTGATTTAAGGTCATAAAGCTGAGATTAAAGCAACAACATTTAATCGAGGTGTGGTCATTGTAATATCTCAGCGTTGACTGAAGCTGTAGTGGAGGGGACCATTGTGAGATCTTTTCATGGGGGCCCAAAAAAAAATCCCCCTGAAGAAAGATACTTACAAAATCATGCCCACAGATTGTCAAATCAGCAAGTATGAGTGATGAATATGCGAGCATGTATTAGAAATTGTGTGCACAGATTCATAAAGTAAGAGAATAGATTTACACGTAGCTGATTTTATTTTAGCTCACACCTATGCTGATGATACTTTTGTGTATTGTACAGCTGACTGAGAAATTGCGTCTTGCCTTTAATGTTGTCCAGGAGGCTCCTGATCAGCTTAAATTGGTTCTGAATTCAAGTAAAACTAAATTAATGTTGTTTTTCTAGGGCCAGACATATCAATTACGATGATGTGCAGATATCTACTTTAAGTGTCTCGTAGCATTGAGCGAGTTACTCAATATAAGTATCTTGGCATTTGGCTGGATAAAAAAATGAACATTTAAATATCATATAGACAGCCTTACGGTCAAGTTGCGACAGAAAATTGGCTTCTTCTACAGAAACAGAACCAGCTTTCCTTTGATTACTAAGAAAAGGATTGTAGAGGCAGTTCGGTTTTAGACTATGGTGACGTGATTTACAGGCATGCAGCAGAATCAACTCTCAGGCCCCTTGACTCTGTCTATCACTCTGGTGATAGATATGATACTCACCATTATGTATTGTATGATAGGGTTGGTTGGCCTTTTCTTGCAGAAAGACGCAGTAAACATTGGTATTTGCTTATTTTCAAAGCCCTTACTGGTAAGCTGCCTCCATACATTACAGCATTGTTGGAATAGTTCCTGTGATTGGCTGGAACTTACAAGTCCCTCGAGCATATTCAGATCTTGGAAAGACTGCTTTTTCATTCGATGCTCCTGATTGCTGAAATGTCATCCAACACATTTTAAAAAAATGAAGACTCTGCCCTCATATGCAGCCTTTAAGGCCCTAGTAACAGACCATTGTGCATCAATAATTTGTAACTGTTTTTAGCTGTGTTGCTGGCTGTTTTCTGGATATGTAACTGTTTTCTTTTTAGCTTATTTGTTTTATTTTCTATTCGCTTTTAGCTCGATGTCACTGTACAGGAGAGAAACCTCAGTGTCTTTCAAGTTAAAATAAATGTTTTGAATTGAGTTGCACTGCATCTTTCTGATCCACTACGAACTTTAAACTCCTTCTCTCTGCATCTGTTTCAGTCACAGCAGACTCTCAATCATAAAAAAAAGACAATGACTCCAAGTAAAACCACCGTTTCAACTTTTATTCATATATATATATATTTATATATATATATTTATATACTCATGTGTTTGACTGCCACTGCTAAAAAGTGTGACTCATCACATTATCACCTGTAAGCATAAATAATAACTTTTTCTCTCTCTCTTGAAACGTGGGAGATAAAACCGACTGAAAACAGTTATGGGTCAATTTTCAGCACCGTTGAGTAGTACATTCTGTGTATTGCATCAGGATATAAAAATATACAGATATAGTGTATTGTTTGTCTTTAAAACATTCTTCCGTGTTGTTCAATGGCATGAAACGAGAGAGAAAGAAAAGACATCATGCTGACGATGAGCTTTGATACCATTATCACGTTGTGAGGCCTCTCCAGATCCACACTGGACGGTTCCTTCAATCATTCACAGCACTTTTGAAAACATCAGTAGCAGCCACATGTCGGAGACATATTAAATTAAACACGCGTTCGAGGCGTCCTCCTCTGAAACGTGACGCTCACAGTGCCACCGGCCTCCCGACCACTTATAGAAAAAGATTGACGAGTGAAGGACGCTGATACAGGCGTGGGAGTGTTGCAGCGCGAGCAGGCCGGTGGGATGTTAGCTCCTTGAGACCATAAAGCAGTCCGTGTCATGATAATGTCACCCACCCCCTCCCCTCCCCCCCCAATCTTTAACAAAACATAAAAACAACAGAAATCAAAAGCAGACAAAAAATCTAAATTGCAACATGTCAGTTTGAACAGTTCGAGGCAAACAAGAAGATCGAGAGTCAAAGAAATGAAGCAAAAGGCGCGGTCGGGATGAGTGTTCAGTTTGCAGTGCATAGAGAGGGGACTTCTGAGATGGAGGTTTCACCTTTTCGGTCATGGGGGATTATTGCCCTGTGTCGGCCTCGCTCAATCACACACACAACACACACACAGAAAACACATGTACCTCCACCTGAACTGAGCAGAGTAAAGACAGAGAGAGACAGAGCAGGGCTGGTGGATCAGGTTCCTGTAGTTTCGAGAGGCTCCAGGCTTGTGTGTATGTGTGTGTGTGTGTGTGTGTGTGTGTGTGTGTGTGTGTGTGTGTATGTGCCTTTGTGTGTGTTTGTGTGTGACATAAGTCCAAATCTATAATCCAAAGCAGGCCCCGTCTTCACCAACACTTGTCATTTATTTCATTTTGTCCGTCGGTTAAAGTGCAGGCCGCCGTCCTCCAGGAAGCTTCTCGTCCAGCTCGTAGAACAGGACGTATCCGTCACTGCTGCACACGTGGGAGGAGGACATTGGTGTTACCCTGGAAACAAGAAACAAGAAAGATATTCATACTTTAAACCCACCTATGAAATCAACAACTATATACATTACTTAAAAAAGCTCTATCTAAAATTCAGTTTTTTATTCCAGAGACTGTATCCAAGAACGTGGACGTAGCCTCTTGTATAAAAAGTGAAGTCAAAGCGGAAGTGCCTTCAATATGCATTCTTTGGAATGGCCAGCAGGGGGCGAATGGTTGCGAAAGAAGTCGTAAGGTCCAAAGTCTTTTAAGCTGCATCCATGCTTTCCCTCACATGTGTCTTTGTCCCTTTAGGCAGAGATTTATGTTAAGATGAGAGGAAACGAAGCAAAGGATTGTGGGGGATTGAGATAATATGATTAGAGACACTAGACGTTGTGTCATCACAAAGCGTCAAATGAAGGGATGTCTGTTTGTGATGACACGATCCTCAGCTCATCACCTCTGGATCAGCTGTCAGTCAGCTTTACCAGCTGATTGATTCTGCACATAATCACTCTTTTAACTCTAATAAAACATTAACAGTGTGTAAGTCTGTCTGTCACTTGATTACAAACACACACTCTGTTTAATGTCTATCTTTTCTCCATTCTTTTTTTTAACCAATATTTTTATTTGCATTTTCATTTAGTAACACAGTAACACACACATAAAAAAAGACAAACATATAGACACAACATTGACAGTATAAAAACAAAACAAAAAACAACAGCAACACAAAAAAGGAGACAAGACAGCATGACAAAACATAGACAATAGTAATAATAATTTGGGCATAAACAACTTTTCTCCATTATTAAACTCGGGTTATGTTTTAAAGGTTAACTAAAGTCCAATCCGCTGCAGCGTCCAATCAATATGTAATATCCAATAAGGGGGCGTGTCTGTCACTAAAAAGTCATCCGTTTAGGCTGCTCTCGTTTATCCTCTCATCCCTCCTCAGATCTCCCTCCTCTCTCCTAGATCCTCTCTCCTCGGAGCAGCTTTAGGGGTTTTGGGACGATCCTTAAGACAGCCAGTCAGACACGTTCACATTACACTCATCTCTGTTCAGGCAGGAGTCACTGACACTCAATGAAAACAAACATGGAGTGGAGGTAGTCACTTGAGGGACAGTCTCAACGTATCCATAGAGAGAACTGTCCTCATACATGTCTGATTTTATATATCTCCACTGTGACCTTTAAATCATTATTTCTCATTCCTATATGAGAAGACGTTGATGATGCCTTCGAGCCGTGTGCACAGAAACTCAGATGTGTAATGTCACAATGTGTCCAGTGAACAAGTCTGTGATTCATTTTTAGTTGTCTACAAGATGATCCTGCATTAATAAGGGAAGTTAAAGTTGTGTGCCAGCTTTGCTGTGGTCTCTTTTGCGCGGGTAAGAGTACCGTAAGTAAAGTACCGTATTTTCCGCACTATAAGGCGCACTTAAAAGCCTTTAATTTTCTCAAAAAACGACAGTGCGCCTTATAATCCGGAGCGCCTTAAATATGGATCAATTGGTTAATTGGTTGATCCATACTGGTTGTACACGGCGCTCAGCGACACTGACTCGGATAATGACGAGAGGGAGCCGGGCATGTTGGATGCCGTACTCGCCCAACTGTTCAATTCGGACACTGAAGAAGAAGAATTCGAGGGATTCGTGGACGGGGAATGAACTGAAAAAGTGAGCTTTACGTGTTATACGTAACTGAACAATGTTGAGCTATGCACTAACGCAGGGGTGCCCAACCTTTTTTGAACCAAGATCTACTTTTAAAGTTACCAGTCTGCCGAGATCTACCAGTCCACATAGTGAGCCATAGCCTTTACCAACAGCCTACAAACGCATTTAATACTCACACAACAAACAGAAAATAATAAATGAGAGTTCTGTAAAAAATAATGCAGACTACAGACTACAGCAGGCTGCTGTGAGATGATTTTGCTTTTGTTAAATTAGCTGCAGACACGGTGAGAGTGAACGGAGTAAAGTCCAACCGACTGTTTGACCGGATCACGTGTGTTCACGCCTCGGTCCGTACGGATCACGGATCAACTGTGTGCTGTAGCACTAAAAGTAAAAAGTAAAAAGGTTGCGTGTGGCTGGCGGTGCAAGTGTGTGTGTGTGTGTGTGTGTGTGTGTGCGTGTGCGTTTGCGCTGTTTGTTGGTGTGTCTCGTCCCCGCGATGCTCACAGTCATGACAGCAGAGAGGAGCAGAGAAAAGTAGCTGCAGCTTCATCAAATGCGCTTAATACTCGTAGCATAGTTTCTATATATGACTTTTTGGTAAAACATTTACCCCCCCGGTTTTACCTGCACGTCATTGCGCATGCCTGCACTCTCTCTTGCGCGCGCTCTCTCTCTCTCTCTATCTCCGCCGCTCGCTCTCTCGTGCACGCAGCAATTTCATGAATAAATGAAAAATTAAATACACACAGGTCGGAAGTATACTTGGGCTCCCAACACAGGTATCGTGTGTGGGAAACAGTGCAATGAGATGAAATTGAAATCACTTTTCTATTTTACAATTGTATTTTATATTGACTAAACATCTCGCGATCGACTGAGAATCAGTCAGCGATCTACCTGTCGATCGCGATCGACTGTTTGGGCACCCCTGCACTAACGTTTGAATTAGCGGTATCAGACTGTGTTTCTTTTACGTGTTTACAACTGAACAAGGCTGGGAGATATTGTGAATATGCACATTAACGTTTGAACAACGTTGAGTTATTGTGAATGCACTACGTATAAAACTACGTTTTGAGAGTTAAGAGAAACGTCAAAGAAATAATTTATTATTTGGGGAAATCGTCTTATGTACTTTTGTTTTTGTAGTTTTATACGTTACGTTTTATACGTATTTATATTTATATATTCACAATATCTCCCAGCCTTGTTCAGTTGTAAACACGTTCTATTCTATGCGCCTTATAATCCGGTGCGCCCTATATATGAAAACAGTTCTAAAATAGGCCATTCATTGAAGGTGCGCCTTATAATCCGGTGCGCCTTATAGTGCGGAAAATACGGTAATGCAAAAAGTAAACAGACAAACATAAACACCAGATCTGAGCAGTAAGTCTGATTTAAGAATTAAGACTTACAATGTGAACGTAGCATATTAATGTAGACAGAAAAGAAACACTGTACACACCTGGAGTCGTTGAACGTGTACCATTCTCCCGAGGTGGGGTTGCGACAGTAGGCTGTGTAGTGACCTCCTGTGGTGGTGCCTGAGTGGTTGGACACTGCATACAGGTTGTACACTGCGTTGGCTACAAACAAACAAAAACAAACTTAAAGCCTGCACTGACTCTTCTCTTTAATTACCCCACAGGAAGTTCAGACAATTTGCATATTTAAACTGAAATATGAGTGTGGTGGGTTTGTTTTCAGGAGATCTGACACACATGGAATCATTTCAGGAAAAAAACTCCTCCATACAAACCTCCTCTGTATTTGATCACTGATGCTTAAAAACCCAAAACATTCCACTCTGTTGCATTTCTCTGTTGAATTTTTAAAGTTTCTGGAGGAGCTTATAGATTCTGATTTTGGCGCCCTCTGTGGACAAAGCAGGTCTTTGCTTTCTTCGCTGATTTGGTCCTAAATATGTGTAAAAGCCACTTCTGACAAATTGTTGTATTTTATTCAAGTCTTATCAATCAAACCCACACTCAACAAAGGTTTATTTATTCAGCAGTATACCACAGATTTCTTTAAATACATGAATATGGCCTACAGTAATAAGGTAGAAAAGCCCTCCATCCTGGTTATTATGTATCCTAGCACGTTTTGTGCAAAGAAGCAGTGACAATGAATAGGAGGTGAAGTTTGCAGTGGCATGCAGTGTGGGATAGAGGCTGCAGCACTTGCAGTCATGACGTTGCATGTCTCAGTATATTCTACAGGTATGACATTCACACCAGTGTAGAGGACGCAGCCAACGTCTTACCATTAAAAAAACTGTTTAAAGGGTTTGTAAAAGCAATGAATCTCTCTCTCTTTGTTTCTGTCGGTCATGAGGAGGCATCAGTGTTGATTTAAGTCTGTTTCATAACCAGCTTAGAAAGCTTGGATTTAATTATCAGGCTGTGTTACTGTGAGACTGGCAAAAGTTGTGACATCACGGAACCTAAGGTAAACTAATATGTATGAAACATTATTAAAAAAAAAAGTTTTCATCTCTCTTCATAGCTTTGTCAGACTGCTAACACATCAAACACGCACTCATCACGCTGGCCACAATCACCACTGGAATCAAGGATTAGCACTTACTGCTGCTTTGGGAGGCGAACTCCCGCAGGTCCAGATCTGTCACCGGGAAGTTTACAAAGGTGGAGAGTTTTCCTGTTCGTTGTCCTTCAGAGAAGCGTTTTAGGTCTGAGCAGGAGGGGGGGAGTCAAGGAGAAAACACATCTGTGTAGCTATAGGGACATTCAGCAATGGTTAGCAAGCGGGCGTGGGCGTGCTAATGGACTCTGCTAACACTTCCATCTGTGTTGTAAACAAACACCGCTGTCACTGCACGCCTACAGACATCTCTCCCCCGCTCGCCTCCTCACTGTGTGCCACAGATTTGATTCTCCTCCTCTCTCCTGTCTGTGACTTTGGATGACTGTATTTTATTTTTTTTCTCCTTATTTCAAAATGGACGTACATCTTGTACCTCAAACAATACTGATTTTCTACTGTTCTCTTTAATGAAGTTCAAAGGCGTCACGCTGAGGTGAAGAGAGAGGCAGACACATCACCCCAACCAGGGAAACAATCGGCATAAACCACAACTCTGCTAGGAATGAAATGAGTTTCTGAACAGGCCGGATTGGATCAGAATCTTCAGATTAAAGTGCTTACATCAGCATTTTTATTCTAATCTAAAGTCTAAAGACTACTATTCAGATTATTACAGGTCTCTTTAAATTGAGGCAATAAACCCTGAAGAACTCATCATTAAACATTATCCATTGATCTGAAAAACGTAAATTATTGACTCAATCTTGATTAAATCTCTGAATAATTCTTGATATAAAATCATCTCCTGCGTACTACAGTGTTTCCATAACCAAAACTCCTCAGCTTCTGAATCTCCTGATGTCATGATACCACATAAATTCACAAAGAATGTATTTGACATATTTAAAATAATTTTAAAATCATTGTTGTTAGACTAGCAGTTCAATGCTGCTAGCTGCCTTCAATGCGACATTGCACAGCCTGACTATTTTCTCTCGTCTTAAATAGTGCAAAAGGGAGTTTTTTTTTTTAAACAGGAATCTTCCGGAAAATTAACTTTGTACAGTCAACTGCTGACAGGAACAAAAAACAACACGAGGGAGGCAAAAAAATCCAACGCTGTCCGTGGCACAAAATCATAATTAACAAGGCAGAAAAAACAACAACAACAGGAAGTGGAATAAACAGAAACCTCAATATCCAGATTTCCACAGACAACAAAATAAATCTGAATCTCCTGATGTCATGAGACCACATGGTAAAAATAAGAAGTCTGTCTTGATACAACAGCAACAAAAAACAGAAGTCTTAGAAACCCAATATTTGGTAACTTCCTGTTTTTCATGTTGCCAACATCTTCGTGCAGTTTAGACAGAGCTCTGTCTTTCACTGGTGAAGGCTTTGTGGTTAAAAATATGACTGAAGACATTAATCTTTTTTAGCTTTGGTACGTTTCAATACCATCGATCATTAAATCAACAGATTACATTTTTGTAACAGGTGACATCTTAAAGTAATAAAATAACAAAACATGTTGATGATTCTTATTAAGCTGAATAAAAAAAGTAAAACATCACTTAAAGTAATCAGACACTATCTGAAAGGATACGAAGCACTAAGATCTTTGGGAACTTCTGTATCGTGAACTTCTTTGCACATACTCTCCTGACTTCACACCTGGAGCACATCTGTGGAGGAGAGACACACAGTTAGTTCAGAGTCCACGAGCAGCTTCTTTGAATCCATCAGAACCTTCATGAAGCACACAGCAACGTGTGGTTTAGGTAGTCTCATTCAGCTTTAAAACCCTTAACTTAAAGAACTGTTCTTCAACCTTCTTCTTAACCTCTGTATCAAACCTCAAGAAAGCCGATTACATAAAAAAAAAAAAAGAGATGATATTTGATGTTGTGAAGGCCTCAACGTAAGATAAAATGTAAAACCCACTCCAACATGTAAAATCAAAGTCTCCTCTTGAATGATAATCCAGGGCACCCAGCGGGATATGTGTGAAATTAAAATATGAAATATTGTATTTTAGATGGCTGACACATTACAACTAACTTAGGCTTTCACATTCAGGGGGAACCTTTGATGTCTTTTTGTTAAATCCTCATCAGCTGAAGGGAGACGGAACGGGAGGTTGGAAAATATAAAATGAAAGGGGAGGAGCTAGTTTTTATACAATTTGAGTGAGTTCACTTTCTACCCATGCAGTAAACTCTTAACATGATGAAATAGGCACACAGTATCCAAAGAGCAAATTGTGTATGATAACAAGAAAGACCCAGCAGGGCTTCTGCTCCATTGTCAACATGATTTTATATTTGTTTGTAATCACACACTCTGAGTTTTAATACTGCACAGCTGAAACAACATTAATAACTGTTTTTTGTGTTCACACATGCAGCTCAACACAAACATTTCAGGGAAACTTTTCAGGAGTTCAGTGCATGTGTGAAGAGGCTTCTACCCCATAGTCTCTCTCCTCTCTGTAACAGTCACAGAGCTGGCCCAGAGCGCACACATACTTATATTCAGGGAGGGCATTTAATCAGTAATTTGCAGTGTGACGGCTCAGGCTGCTCTGGAGTCGAGACATTTTCAGACGCAGAACTAACATTAAACTGATCCTGATCTGGATTCTGTTGGCTCTTACCGGCTTCTCGTCTCCGTCCAGGATGTCTTCTTTGGTGAAGAGCCGCATGCAGTCCATCAGACTCACCTCACAGTAGCCCGTCTGCACACAAACAGAGATCAACTCCAGGTCATCAGGAAAACAAAAAACAAAGCAAACCTCTGCTCCACCTTACATTGTATCTGTTGACCCCATTTGTTAGGATATTTCATGTGTGTGTGTGTGTGTGTGTGTGTGTGTGTGAGTGTGTGAGTGTGTGTGTGTGTGTGTGTGTGTGTGAGTGTGAGTGTGTGAGTGTGTGAGTGTGAGTGTGTGTGTGTGTGTGTGTGTGTGTGTGTGTGAGTGTGTGAGTGTGTGTGTGTGTGTGTGTGTGTGAGTGTGTGAGTGTGTGTGTGTGTGTGTGTGAGTGTGAGTGTGTGAGTGTGTGTGTGTGTGTGTGTGTGTGTGTGTGTGTGTGTGTGTGTGCGTTTTTTAACCTTGGCGATAGGTAGAGAGAGATCCCAGAATGGGTCAAAGACGGTGGAGCAGAAGCCACAGTGCCTGCAGGTCAGAGAGCTCTTCAGTTGCCCCACAAACAGATCTGTAAGAACGGGAACATTTGATCAAAATGGAAAACATGAAGAAATACTTTTTTTTTTAAGCTAATACACCATGTCCAGTCTAGACACATACAGAAATTAAATACCACTTTAACAGATGGCCTTGTAAACACATTAAACCTGATTTCATTATGTAATTTAGCGTGTCAGATTCTTTATAAACATTTTAACATCGATCCTGATGCGTCTCCACTCACCGACTATCTTGCTGTCTTCTCTCTCCAGATATTTGCTCCACATCTTCCTCCCCTTCTCTTCATCCCTGAATGTGGAGAACCTGTGAGACTTTAGACTGTTAGGGTATCAGACGGACGAGACAGACGGGGACACACTGACGGTGACAGTCAGCTGTTTTGGGTTGGATACTGATCAAATTGAACTTAATCAGTTACTCTTGATTTTACAGAAAACGACTCTTAAATGTCAAATTTATTTCTTGCTTCAAATGCTTGCTAGACTGAAATTTTTAATTTTAATTTTGTATTCCTTTAATTGCATACTATCGTCTCATTTAGAATATTTGTTTTCTATTGTATTATTTGGAACAGTTTTGCCTACCTATTTTTTTTCACATTTATAAACTTTTTTGTCATCCTCTCTGATGTTTGGTTTATGCATGATATCATTTTGTTGTTGTAAAGCTGAATGATTCCTATTTGATATATCTTTTTGAGACCTGTTAGATCACTTTTCCTAAAATAAATAAATACATGCAGTGCACAAATAATCCACCAGGGGGCAGAAAGCACGCTCCATAGGACCTTTGTCAGTGACATAAATGTGACTTTTCATGGATAATTTTGTTAATTTTCACAAAAGATAAAGAAAGAGAAACATTCAAATTCTTCCTGATACTTCAATCAGGCAACAAAATAATCACTTTTATTTTGTCTTAAATAATAATACAATAATATCATGTTTCATGTGGATCAAATTTGTTACAACAGGTATTTTGCCAATTATCTGTTTTTGCACTTTATGCATTATAACATTTTTAACACTGGTCACTTCACACGGTCTGCTTCAGAGAACTCTCAGACCATGACCAGTTAGTCAAACTAAGTATTTAACACAGATGTGTAAAAAAGTCTGGAATGACCTTCCTGCTAAAATCTCGTATGTAAAATCTGCCATCCCATTTAAATTCCTTTTTAAACTTTCTTTTTCTAAATTTAGCTTTTATTTCTTCTTTTGGTAAATATCATTACATCTATATTTTATTTACTTTTTTTTCAAGCTGACTTTCCGTGCAGACGTGTGTTAGTACAGATACACAAACACAAACACTGTATGTCGGGCAGGTTACTTACGGCAGGTGGTCAAAGTCATCGGTGGTTCCTCTCGGCCTGACGGTGACCCTGTTGACCTCATTGTGAAGACCGTCCAGGAGGAATCGCAGGAACTCCTGAGCATCCTGTTGGCTGCAGGACACAGTCAAAATTAGGAATCAGCTGATGTTCTGCTATTAATGGACTTTTTGCTCTTGTTGTCATGTTATCATGAGAAGAAAACCATTCTAAATACTCCTGAAGCAGGGCACACACTAAGATGATCGCACGACTTAAGTCTCCATAATGGTTCTAAAGATTATCTGTACAGATCTTCCAGTGGTGTGAGGCGTTATTAGAGTGATGGAGGAACATCTAAATAGTTTAATTTCATTTTTTGTCCTCATGTGTGGGCTCGCTCACATTTTCAAGATCTGTAAAGTCTTTAAAAAATCTTGACTGGTCTGCCAGGCTGAAAGATGAATGCCACTTTACAAATGTGTGAGTGAAGCAGAGCTTACCTGTATCTGACGAATCTGGGAGCATATCTCTGGATCTGAGTTCTGAATTCAGACGGGCTGACCGCCTCGCTGCTCGACGATGTCCACATGTTCTGAATCAGCTTGGCAAATTCTACAACAACAAACATAATCGAGTTAAACACACACAGCGAGACATCAGACACAAACTCCTATTATGATGGCTTCAGGTGGACAGAACAACTCAACTCTTCATCCTTTTGATCTTCTTTACAGTCAAATATTAAAAAGGTATAAATGTGAATGGGGGAAAGTTCATTTTGTTTGTTTCGAACCAAATCTTAAAAAAAACCTTATCTTAAGACACTTAACATGAAGACTGGGTCTAGACCAGAGGTCTCAAACTGCCAGCCCGTGGTCCATTTACGGCCCCCCTCCACCCAATCCCCGGCCCGCCCCGCATGTTAAAAACATAATGTAGTCAGGCCCGCAAAATATTTTTTAAATTAAATGTATTTATTTAATTTTTTCGTTTCTTCATGCTAATTAAAAATACAATTTCTTATGAAATTCAAATAAAAAAAAAAAACGTAATTCAATAAAAAATATTTTGACAAGGTTGTAAGTCAAAGGCCAAAGGTACCCGCACATGCCCAGAGAGGTTCACGGAGTGAGAGCAGTTGGCGCAAAAGTGTTGTGTTGTTGTTTGACTGCTTACGACCAAGATTTCGCTTTCTAAGTCAAAAAGGAAAGTTCACAATGAACACAGACAGTTTCAAGAACGATGGACATTACAGTATTTTTTTGTGGAGTTTAGTGGACATGCAACCTGCCTGATATGTCAGGAAAGAATTGCCATTTTAAAGGAGTACAATCTCAAGCATCATCACTGCACTAAACACGGAGAGCAGTATGAAAAGTACCAGGGAGAGGAGAGGAAACAGCGTGCCACGCAGCTACAGAGAGGACTTCTTTCTCAGCAAAGTCTTTTCCACAAATCCAAGAAGGAGGCCGATGCTGCTGTTGAAGCAAGTTACATGTTGACTGAATTAATTGCCAGAACGGGGAAACCATTCACGGAAGGACGGTTTCTGAAGGAGTGCATGTTGCAAGTTGCTGACATTCTGTGTCCAGAAAAGAAGAGTTTGTTCAACAATATTTCTCTTTTGGCAAACACTGTGGCAGAGCGGATTAGCAGTTTATCAAGTGACATTTATGACCAGTTATGTGACAGAGCAAAATGTTTCACTGCATACTCTGTGGCGCTTGATGAAAGCACGGATAAAACGGACACTGCCCAGCTGTCCATTTTCATCAGGGGTATTAATGACCAATTCGAAGTGACTGAAGAGTTGATGAGTTTGTGCGCAATGCACGGCCGCTCTACAGCCAAGGACAGTTTTCAGCAGCTCTCTGACGCAATTGAGCGCGCGGGTTTGCCATGGAATAGACCGGTTGGCATCACCACTGACGGAGCCCCGTCCATGACAGGCAAAAAAAACGGACTAGTAGTGCTGGAACAGAGAAAATTAGAGGAGGAAAGTGTAGATCCAGCAGTTGTTCTGCACTGAATTATACACCAACAGGCACTGTGCAGCAAATGCCTGAAATATGAACATGTCATGTCTGTTGTCCTGAAATGTATAAACTACATCAGGTCCAGGGGTTTACAGCACCGCCAGTTCTGGGCCTTTCTAGAGGAGATTGAGTCAGCATATAGTGATGTACTTTACTTTACTGAGGTGCGCTGACTCAACAGGGGAAACGTCTTGAAGAGATTTTTTGAGTTAAGAGCAGAGGTGAGGAGATTTATGGAGGATGGCAGAATGGATGTTCCTGATTTGCATGATCCTAAATGGGTTATGGACCTTGCATTCCTAGTGGACATAACACAGCAGCTGAACATCCTCAACCTGAAGCTCCAGGGTCCTGATCAGCTCATAACAGCAGCATATGAAAGTGTGAAAGCCTTCTGCACAAAACTGAGATTGTGGAAAACTCAGCTCTCTGCCAAAAACCTCAGTCATTTCCCAGCATGCAGATCTCTTGTGGAACAGGGCACAGCATTCAGTGGTGATGAATATGCTTCTGCTATTGACAATCTTCTGCAGGAGTTTGATCAGCGTTTTGCTGACTTCAAGGAACACCGGGTCACTTTCCAGGTATTTGCAGACCCTTTTTCAGCTGATGTTGAGAGTGTCCCAAGTGTGTTGCAAATGGAACTTGTTGACCTGCAGTGTAACAGTGAACTGAAAAATAAATTCAGAGAGGTACAGGGGAAGGCAGACCTGACTGGACAGTTTCTAAGAGAATTACCTGCATCCTTCCCAGAGCTATCCAAATTGTTCAGTCGTGTAATGTGCCTTTTTGGAAGCACATGTCTGTGTGAGAAACTTTTCTCAACAATGAACTTTAATAAATGCAAGTACAGGTCCAGGCTTAGTGATGCACACCTTGAAGCTGTACTCAGGGTTTCAACTGTGACCTCCATCAAGGTAAATGTGGCTCATCTGTGTGAGCAGATGCGCTGCCAGGTGTCTGGCAAGAAATAGAATGCAGGATTAATGTATTGGTATTTTGACTAACTGCATTTTTTAGTTCAGTGCAGGTCTTATTTATTATTTGATTAAGTTATTTTAGTTATTTAAGTTATAAAGCAAACACAAAAGACTTGCACTACTAAATGAAAGCAGATGTCTTGAAAAATGTATATAAACTGCTGTTTGTATTAGTGATGTGTGACAAAATTTTGCAGAAACAAAAAGTACATTTGCAAAAATAAAGTCCTTTTTGTGGTGCTTGAACTTTGTAGTGGCCCTCCTTTAAGTCGACAGTACTCCCAGTGGCCCCATGCCAGTTTGAGTTTGAGACCCCTGGTCTAGACTGTAGTCTTTGTTCATTTATGTTTAGAGACTCATCATTAGTTTGATTTATTTATGTGTTTGATATTTCTTTGTAAAGGGACGAGTAAGAAGTGTTCAATCCAATGCACCACACTACAGAATTTACAGCCAGCTCATTTTCAACGCTCAGCTCTGGACGGGCTTTTAAACAATACATAGAAATCAACAACAAAGACGCAAATCGCCTGCAAACAACAAACTAAACAATGAGACAGGGGCTGCTTTCACATGTGCACTCCTGAACATGTCAGACAGACTGCCCCTGAAATATTCTTGAGTTTATTGTTATTTATCAATTAGTGATTGGATGCACCAGTGGAGGTAACCACATGTAGAGAAACTCAACATGCATGTCTCACTTTATACTGGAAAAAGTCAGAGATGGATTGAAATGTCTGCACAAATTGTTTTAGTCTCTTCTGCCCAACTATGGTTTCAAAAATACTCTTCATGTAGTGGTTGGAGAACATTTCTCTGTTTTCTCCTCAACTTGAAAAACTCTTCATCCTGTTAAAAGTCCTCCTCACTACTCCTCACAGTTTTACACCTTAGGAGCTCTCTGAAGGGCAAAGACACTTTGTGAATAACTTTCATCTTTACAACGATCTAGTCCTAACTTTGAGGGGAAATTCTTAGAAAATGTCATGAAGAATTTTCTTAGAATTTTGTCACTAGGAGCAACTCTTAGTACTTAGGAGACTTTGTGAATCACTTTTATCTTTATGAGGGAGGGAAGGGAAATTCTTTTTAAAATTATTTCACAATTCTAAGAATTTTCTTGGAATTTTCTTCACTAGGAGCAGCTCTTAGTACTTGTAAATCGAGCCCCAGGAGTTTACTGCAAGTGTGAAAGCATGAAGAGATAACATTTCAAAAATAAGCTGGTAATGCTTCATTACCAAAACCTTCGGTCCAGTGTGCTCCTAGGGTTAGGGTTAGGTGCAGCAGCTTTTGGTTAAAAATATGACTGAAAAGCTTCTGTACTTTTCTTTACTATTGATCATTTTAATAACAGTGAGAGGTTTTTGGCCTCCCTGTTGTTGATGTGACAACTGGATTTTTGAAAAAGTGTACTGTCCATTCCAGCCCTTACATGTGGAGCTATTTGTTGTGTTATTTTCATCTCTGCAGTTTCCATGTTTATCTAAAATAGTACTGATTGAGGTTATGTACATTTTCATGTAAAGGGTTAAAGACACAGAAAAATTCTGCGTGTCTCACCAGGCTTCCAAATGGTAAATGGACTTGAGCTTCTATAGTTCTTTTCTAGTCTTCCGACTACTCAAAGCGCTTTTACACTGCACGTCACACCCACCCAATCACACCCTTTCACACACTGATGGTAGTGATCGCTATGTAGTATCATCCATCAGAAGTAACTAATCCATTCATACACCACCACTGAAGCAGCGGGAGAAATTCAGGGTTAAGTGTCTTGCCCAAGGACACATCGGACATGTTGCCCAGCTGGGGATTGAACCCTCGACATTCTGGTTGAGAGGCGATGACTCTACCAACTGAGCCACAGTTGCCCAAAGACAAACATGTTTTCCCAACACGTCCTCTGAGGTGTGTTTAATCCAGAGGTAAAGAGAGACTGAGTGTGTTGCGGTGTGTGTTTTGGACTCTAGGGGGCCCGAGCGTCCCGTCTCACCTTGCATGAGGGCTGTGTTGGTGCGGCTGTTGTTGTTAAGGTCTCTGCGGTGCGAGTTGTGCAGGCAGTAGTCTCGCAGGTTTTGTGTGTTGCTGAGACACTGCAGGATACTGTTCATGAAACACTGCGAGGAGAAAAAAAACACACACACATTACAAACAGTTTGATTCAAAGTTCCATCTTTTATCTTTCAGTGAGGAAGCTTATAGAAAAATTTTTTAAATTTAAAATTTAATTTCACCGTTGCCTTGACAATTCAAATTTTCCCCTGAAATATTTGAATTTTAACGGTCAAATCGACAATAAATATTTGCATGTTCAAGATTTACATTTACTTGTGAAAACAAAAAAATAATCCACCGGTCTTGTTTTGATCGATTTAGAATATTCATAATTTCTTAATGTTCGACCTGGTTGCTCATCTTTATGCTTTCTTCAGCACATTTAGGAAAAAGATGTCAATTTTCAGGAAGAATTCTGAATAACATTATTGATGACGGATGAGAAGATTGAAAGAAGGTAGGACATCTCATATCAATTAGCTCAGTCCAACGCTGAGAAAATGTCACCTCAAGCATTTTGCAAAGTCTTACTTTATACATTGTTTATTTAATCAGTGCAAGAAGAGTTGAGCTGCCAGATGAGCTAATAGCTGGTTAGCTTAGCTTAGCATAAAGACACCTAGCCAAATCCTCTTCTCAGCACCTTTTAAAACCAAATACAATGGATCTTTATTTAGAAAGAAAAAGACAGCGTGAGGCCTGGTGTGAATGATTTGTAAGAGGTATCAGAGTCACAAAGACAGCACAGTGTATACTCCCAGCACATGTCCACATGAGACACGTGCAATCAGGTAAGATCAGACCAGGCTGAGAGTTTGCCCTGGTCCACAGTTCAGAGCCACACACACATACGCACACACACTCACACACTCACACATACACACTGGCATCAACACATGTTTATTTTAGGAGCTGTCCTCCTGCTTGTTGCCTGGTAGACGGCTACACTCTTGTGTGGACTCAACAAAATGTTATCAGTGTGAACCCAAACAGATCATAAAAAAAGACTTCTCCCTACTCTTTAAATGTCATTTTTCACTTTATGGATACTATTCCCCAAATTTACACTGAGGCAATTTTTCATCAGAAATCACGCATCAAGGTGGGGAGATTAATGTCACGCTGCTAGTTAATGTTTTGGCCACATATGAACCGTTAAGGGAGCAGATGTGCCGCTGATTGTTTACTTTCAGCAGCTACACCTGGCGCTCACCCAGTGAAATGTTGTTTGAGTCACAGGCAGCTCAACACGGTGAGCTTTGGTCAAATTAAAAGTTAGTCACAGAGCAGCTCATGTAGACTACACGTAACATTGAACATTGTTAGAAATGTCTGATGATGTAACACAGTAACAATGAAGCCACACGTTTGTTAGTGAAGTTAACAAAGAGCTTCTGTTGCTCCACCTGTTCCCTCTCTCTACATTTCCTACTTCCTACTTATCTCGAGTATTTGTTGTTGAGAATTTTGTTTTTAAAATGCCCTTCCAGGGATGACCATAGCAAATACGCTTTGGCCCTGTGTCCACCTAGCGTTTCTATTGCTGTCACTCTGGAGGCTGCAGTTGTGTTGTCTCTATGACAACAGTCTGTTAAAAATGCCTGCTGTATGACTGACACTGCTCTGTTCCTTTTTACTTAATGTTTCATAGCTGAGATCATTTTCCCCTTTGCTATGAGCATTAAACGTAGGATTCTTGACTTCCTACTTTGTCTGGAGACAGAGTGAAGAGCATGTGGGTACAGGGCACGATGCGTTAGGAGACAAAAATACATGAAGTCAAATATTATGATAAGAGCGTCGGTGACAACAACAGTTCCTTTCTGAAAAGTTGATATATTTTCAAATGAAGCGGCTGCACAAAGAATAGAATAGAATAGAATTACTTTATTGATCCCAAACTGGGAAATTGTGGAGAAGAAGGCGGAGCACTCTGAAAAAAGACACTGTGCTTTTTCTTAGGGCGACTGCCTACTGCTGCAACCACCTCAACTTATTGAAAACAATTTTAAAAAGATCCTGGCACCCAGAAAAAAAGTCTAGGCGGACACAGGGCCTGAGACTATGAACTGTGTGAGTGTTTTAAGGTAAGTGATCACTGAACATGGCAGCTGTACTTACAGTGTTTCCAAGGTTCTTCAAACCCACCAGGCCTTGAGCACTCTTTGAATTCTGAAAGAAAAGCAAAAAGATTTACAAATTAATTTAAGATTCAGTTTGTCATTCTCCTTACTGACATACACGCAAAAAAGTGCAGCTCTTCAAGCCCACAACAAGTACATCAATATATCAAAAAACGACCTTTAAATACAAGAAGCCTGCTGACAACATACACAAATGTTTAATAAAAACAACCAAAGATTAAGAATGAGGGATAAAAGTAAAGGAGCAGCGTATATTTAGCAGCACATCTCGAGTTAGGTGTCACTTTTGAAGGAGGGAAACAACTGATAACCTGAGTAATGCTTAAAAGAATGAATGACCCATTAATTAGTGCTGAATTCATACATCATGCATTACTTTTGGATACAATTTATGACTTGTGTGAAACTTGACGGTTGATCAATGCAGGAAGTGAATTCACAGTTATTTCAAAAATGTATCTTTATGTATTAAGGTGGAAGGGGTTATCGATCCATCGATTGGTTAATCCAAAGATCCAATCAAAACTATGGACTGCCGGTCCTTTTTCTGCACACTCTTAATTTTGCTACATTTTGCATTAAACCTCATACTTGAGAGATCACAACAGGAACAGCTGATCACTCAAATCACGCTTGTTTTGAAAATCGGAGCCATTTAGTTTTGTCAACTTCTTGAAATGTACTATTGATGAAGACTGTCATCGGACCACTTTGTGAATAAAGTGTTGAGTTTCCCAAAAGTTGTTACTAGATGAATTATCAACACTTTAACGTCTGACACCTCCAGCTGTGTTATAAGGCGGAGTTTATATGTTATCAGAGTGAAGCTGGACATGTGACAAAGATATGATCTTGTACATGTTGTCATTCAATGTGTGTGTGTGTGTGTGTGTGTGTGTGTGTGTGTGTGTGTGTGTGTGTGTGTGTGTGAGTGTGAGTGTGTCCTGGAATGACAGACAGGAGCTTTATTTTCTTGGGGAGTGTTATCTGCAGAGAGGAACTTGTTTCTGTTATCAGTCTCTTCCTCTTTTGATTATCGCTCCCAGGTGGCAAAGACCTGATCAACAACTGAAGATAAGACAAAAACCTGCACCTTGAGGTTTTTTTTTTATTCTGCGCTGCAGCTTTAAATGTTATTCATGCTCAGGGCGACAAACTAGCAGAACATCTGATCTGAGTGCAACCCAACAGATGGCAGAGCACATTACCATGATGTCGAAAATCT